GAAGATTTGTTCAGGGTTTGGGGGAATCTATATCTTTCAACAAAGCACCACACCCAAGCTTTCCATCAAATAAGCAAACAATGGACACAAAAAAAGAGAGATCTGGACCGTAGTGAAATATCTTACGTTTCCGTAGCAGTCCTCATCATCCTCAGACATGGCTGGCAGGTATGGGGTGAGTTTGGGGGGTGTCTGTATGTGTAGGTCACTCCAGGAGATGGTATCAAAGAAGGGGTGCTGCCTCAAAGGGTTGTACCCTCCCATCTCTTCACACCCAATCCGCTTGGACGGGTCCAGTGACTGAGGCAAAAAACAGAAAGATATGACATGTTATTATTTTATTACTTCCCTGTAAAAAACCAACACTAGCAGAGACAAAAATACAGCAAAAATGTCCCCACAGATATCAGTGACATAACTGTATCCTCCATTTTTGAATCATGGTGATTTTTGACCTACCAAAAGCTGTTTGACGAGATCCTTGGCTTTGGGGAAGAATTTCTCTGGGAATTCATACTCCAGCTTTATTATCTTCTGGAATATTAGGTACTCATTTCTACCACATATGAAACAAGATGAAAAGAACCAAAAAAATAAATGAGTGTTAAGGAAGTGTACCACAAGTGAAATGGTAATATTATTGGGGCAAGGTTATTCTCATGCTTAGCATTTGTTGCGCTTGAATTGATCTTAAACAGTAAATGGGAAAAATGCAATGCAGCATGATCAGCCAATACTGAAGCATGAATTAATAAGGATTAACTTAGCTGTGACAACACCCCCTTAATACTTACCCAGCTCTGAATGGTGGTAAACCAGCCACCAGCTGATAGATAATACATCCCAAGGCCCAGAGGTCAGAGCTTAAAACAAGGGAAAACAGAAAAACACTTGTGAGGTCACTCTTATCTGACAAATAAAGAGAACAATAATTAGTAAGTGTATCAGCTGCATGATGACCAATCTTCATTACCTCTTGCAGGCTGATTTCTCTGTTAGCAGCTCTGGAGACACGTACTGTGCTGTTCCAACAAAGGAGTTTGCTCTCGCTGCCAAACGATAAAAAGACACGAATAACTTCACATTGCTCACAGAAAGTAAAATCCTACATTCATGTCACTAATACACTTAGATTTTATGCTGAAAAGTACAAGTACAATTGTGGTTATACCTTGTTTACTGTCTGATGATAACTGTTTTGCTGTCCCAAAATCTGTTATCTGGATGTGCATGTCTTCACTCAGAAGAATATTCTCTGGTTTCAGATCTCTGAAAAGAAAGGAACAAGTTGTAACTTATGGGTAAACAAACGCTAAGCAGGGTTTGAAAATGATATCAGGAAAACAGCAAAAAGGACTGAAATATTGTGGATAAAACAAAAAAAAGAGTCTTACCTGTGTATTATCCCCTTATTGTGTAAATATTCTAGAGCACAAACTATTTCAGCGGAGTAGAATCTAGTACATGTCTCATCAAATGAACCAATTTTGCGAATGTATTTCAGGAGCTCTCCATTCTTAGCGTAGCTGAGACCAAAATCTTAGAAAAGCTAGTTAAGGAACACTGCGACTACTAGAAATCAATTGTTAAAAACTACCATCAAACTTTACACAAACACAACTTGGTATGTTAATAATATACAACATGTGATGACAAATTGGTCATGTTAAAGGATACACAACTTCTCATCATCTTGAAATGTGAAGTAGAGCTTGACGAAGAACGGGTGATCTAGATTTGACATCAAATCCCTTTCTCTTTTCACGTACTGGGCTTTGTTCTCCTTCATTATATGGCGCTTCTCTAAAATCTTAACTGTAGGAGAGAAAAGAACATTTCCAGATACAATAGTAAAAATACACACAGCAACGTTTCCATCTTGATAATAATTCACTAAAACATGGTGCATTACTACTTACTTGCAAATTCTTTCCCTGTTACCTGCTCTCTTGCCAGGACAACCTTAAGATAAAAGAACAGAAAAAGGAACATAACATGGCATTTTAACTTCTCTCTTTAACTAATCTAGTAACTCTTAGGGCCTGTTTTGTCAATTCACCTCAAATGAACTAAGGATGACTCATCCAAGTACATTAATCAAAAGAATGCTAGCATGTAGCAACATCTACCCAAGAATAATTCAAAAGTGGAATGCAAGTCACATACCGTTGAGAATGAGCCCTCTCCCAATATCTTGCCGAATCTGAAGTCCTCTGGCTTCTTCTTGCGTGGCTGAGGGACCTGGACAGCCGGCTGTGTGCGGAGGTCTGGGCCCTGGCTGCTGGCAGACGCTCCTACAGCACGGGCTTCTGAGGCTGAGCCCTCCATGCTGGGACAGTGGCTACTGCTTGCGCCTGGGATAGCAAGTGGCGAGCAGGAGTCAGGGTGGTTTCTTACCATTGATGGATGCGAGCAGGAACAGATGACAACGCTGGGCTGAATGGGCACAACATCATACTGGAACAGGAGAGGGAACATTGAGAATATATAAGTCTGCAGGGTGATTCAATTATAGTTCTTGTTTTTAAAAAAAGAAGACATTTACATATGGTTTAAATCATGGCTATTCATTTGAGAAATATAGGAGACCTAAACTGTCAAAATTCAACTTTTAATGCACTGAAACTGCACAAATCACTCCTTCACTATGACTTACTATTAGTATGTTGAAAACCATATCTAGCGACCATATGAATATGGGGGGGAAAAAATATGAGAATTGCTTCCAATATCAATCTGTTTAAACAATATGTGTTTATGGGAAAGGTCATATTTAGCCTTCTGCATTTTGATCTGTCATTTGAACTATGATTTCACAAGTATTTTCACCATCATTATGTGGAAAAACAGGTTTAGGAATTGCTTGGTTATAGCTTCATAATTCACATTTTCCAGAAACCTCCTCAAATAAGATGACACATCAAATTTATATATTACCCAGCCCAGATTAATATATACATTTTGTTGCATTTTCTAGTGCAGCAGACTGTATAATGTAAACAATATAATATACTACAAAACGAGCAAATACAGAACAGAAGTAAATGTCAATATAACAAGAGGAGATGGGGCTTAGAGGATCTGGATCATATAGAGTAGACCCACTTTCCAAGGTCACAGACAAAAATGTGTTGCAGCTAACACTCTCGATAGGATATCATAACTTAAAATATACAATTTAAAGTGAGACCACTTGAGGAGCAAAGTCTAGAATAGATAAGGACACGCAAAGACTAATGAAGAAGCCGATTCCGAGTGTGGTGGTCCCACCCTCCAGTGGTAAAGTTGTAAAAACTATGTCAAAGTTACTACTTTCATGTAACAGCTGTACTTACTACCACAACTGCACTGAACTCCTCAAATTTGTATATTCATGATCAAACTGACCTGGCAGCAGACGCACACAAACACTGATAAGAAACCCACAAAATGATGAAATGAAAACTCAAAGACAACATACAGCGACAGGTTGAGCTTTCCAACAAACCGACGCTTGTACCAAAGTTAGTTATTTTTAACTTGCTGAACTTACTGTAACACTCAGTGCTGATGTTGTTCAGCTTACAACTCAGTAACGTTAGTTGGTTCAGTTGGCCTAGCTTCTTCTCATTCAAAAACCAAGGTGTGGCCATTTAGCTGCCTTATCCGGACTTGAGTGTAAGCTTGCCAACTGGTCGTTTAACTATCTACTGATCCAGTATTACTAGTGGTCAACCACGTACTGGTTGATAGGAAAAACATCAGCTAACATTAACCTAACCCCGTGTGCTCGGGTGACAACAGGCCTGTGCGAACTTTCTTTGCTTGCTCACTAACGCCTGCTACAGCAAGCTAGCTCCTGCTGCCTTGTCAAATAATGCCGGCCATCACTGACAGCGAGTTATAAACTTAACGCTAACAGACAGGCAATTAGCTCACGTTAGCAAGCCAGGTAACACATAAGTAACTTCAAAACCGTAAGCCATTTTACGTAACGACGCTTACTTGTGTTCAAAGTTAGTGTGCCGACGTTAATGTCGAAGTTTTAACGTAAACGAGTTGACAAGCAGACCACACAACGTAAACCTTAAAAAGCAATGTACTTACCAAAAAGGTGGAAACGCAATAAAGCTAATGTTAGCTCGTTAGCAAGCCGGAGCATCGCTCGAAAGCGCGAACATGTTTAGCTAACGTCAGCCAACAGATAACGCTACCGACCAAGGGGAAATGGTCATACATCCTATAAAACTACCACCAAGCACTGGAAAACGATAAACCAGCGCCGAATTAATCGACGAACCTTTAATCGTGAACCAAGCCAGGTGTGGGACAAACCCGGGTAACGTAGCAAACATTAGGTGTTGTGTTAGCCGACATTAGCGAGCTAACGTTGCTAGCGAGTCGTAACGTTAAACGATCTTTTGCGGCTAGCACGGCTCTTCAGATGAAGGCCCGACGCAACTATTTGTTGTCAAAACAGCCGCCGCACTGTACATTTCGACCGCCGGCTTCGAGCTGTTACTCGTGTGTAAGTTGCACCACTTACCAGCTGACTTGTAGCTCTTGCCATGGGAGTTTTCCGCGAGTATTTATTTGGAATAAAATAATTAGAGAAGCTCCAGTAATGGCTGCCTCTGCGCCTTCATTTTCGAGCTGTGACGTCGTTCCACAACAATGTTACCGCAGGACAGCAGAGGAGAGTCCCGCTGTGTCCGCCCCCCTCGCCACATTTACAACCTACTGAACTTCATCTCTCTGATAGGGATTGAGTCCGACGGGCAGCAGTTGTTGTTGATATTCAAATAGCGCCGTAAACGTGGCCTACAAACTGTCCCACTGAAGCTTTGTGTAGCGAGGTTTATCTACAGGTCGCTCACACCATTTTAAGACTAAAGTTTTGGTGTAGAAGCGGGCTCACAATCCACAAGTCTGCGTTTACTGAGCTCTTTATCCATCAAACTATGTTTTATCCAACTTTAACTGAAACAACCCTGGACACCAATAGACACATGCAATTAAACAACGCTTGCAAATATGTATTTATTTAATTTGTTTACATTATAAAACATACAATTTATTGCATTTTTTTAAATTATTATTTTTTGGATACCTGTACAAAACTGGTTAACCCAAAACAGCTTTTAGTTTATGAATGAGTCATGAGTATTGAAAAAGTTTTGCCAGTCCTTGTAGTATAAGAATAGATAGTAGAAATGTGCTTTATTGTGATGACTTTGATTCAGTCTGTTCCTCCTCTTCATGATGATGTGAGACTGTTTTTGACTCGCTTTCGCCTTCTGTTTTTTCATCTTCTACTTCTTCATCTTCTGCTTCATCTTCGTTATCCTCAGAGGTGTCCGTATCCTCACTAGCATCATCGTCTTCTTCAGGTGCACTTAATATAAAAAAGACAGAGATAGTTAGTAACCACACTCATGGATAACAAACTCATGAAGATTATTTGGTACTTTCCAATCAATATTAGCTTATTGGTTTTTTAATTTTAGCAGACGGTAGGTCACCCTCTGTTAAAAATTTAAAAGTTGTGTAAAGTGACATACTACTAGGAAAACTAATTAGAAAAATGCTGATGCTCAAGATTGTCAGCAGTAAAATATGACCGGATCAGTAATAAATCACTACAAGATTTGCGGACATCTGCAACTGAGGAATTACCTCACTCTGACTTAAGTTAAACATTGAATGCCCTCAAGAGCAATATTAAATCCTTACCACGGACGTCTGTTGAGATTTCTACATTCAACTCCTGAGTCGACATCAAATGGATCTGTGATCAAGATAGATGATTAGCTTTTATTAATTAGAAAATTGCTTCAACCAAAGAGATCAGAACATGCATCCTTCTCTGAGTATGGGGCACTTTTCCAGAGATGCTGGAAACAATTAGCCTGGTTCCAGACTTCTGAATCACTGCCCACATCTCTGATTTGTTCAGCGATTCAAATAGAATTAAATTAATCAAAATCAAATAAATGAAGTTAAGAAAAATGTCAATTCCGTCTGATTATTGGCTTGGCTTGGATTATCAGTCTAGGAAAAAATGCACAATAGTGTTTGAAGTTTTGGAGAAAGCTGCAAGAAATATGTGTCAGATATCAGAACTTACAGTGACCTCTATTTTATGATGAATCATACTACTCATAAGTAATTCATAAAGCTTAAAAGCCTTAAGAACTATGTTTTATGACTTTCACATTTGAATACAAGTATGAGACCAGTGTTTCCCCAATAACAATTTAGCTGTGGTGATTCACCATAGAAGAAAAAGTGTTGGAGTAACTTCGAAACCCAATAACATTTTTATATTTTTGTCCAGTTTTCCTAAAATGCAGCTTCTTGTGATTCTGCCATGATTCTGCTCTCACCATAGTAAAGTTTAATGTCATATGGCTATATCATTGTATTACTACTGTCTGTGCTTTTACCTGTGCTCTGTGACTTTGTCTGCTCTAATATGGTTATGTCATTGTTTTACTATTTGTGCTTATGTAAGTTTCTAAAAATTAGCTAGAATGGCTAAATCTGCCACAGATTCAAGTGCTCATGTTAATTATTGTGCAATATCCCTCCTTTAATAAACAAACAATACATATGACCCTATTTTAGGACTACAAGATGTACATGAAGCTAAACCGAGACTAAAATAGGGACAGATGTGGGACTAAAACCCAAATAACCCCCTACCACCTCTGCTACACAAATATGTTTTTTTTGTTGTTTTTTTTACCAAAGTCATCCTCCTCTGGTTTAGTTGTGAGAAAATCCTTTTCTACAGACAGCAGCTCTTCCTCTGACTGGCAAGCAGCATAGCGGTCCAGCAGAACTTTGTTGAGATCCAGGAACACTGTCCCCCACTTGAATTTCTTCAACAATAGCAATGCGAGTTCTTCAAAACCTACAAAATCAGATACAGAATGTTATAGTGTCACTTCTGTAACAGGATACAAAAAGCAGTCAGGAAGACAATACAGTACATGATTCCTGAATACCTAAAGCTCAAGTCTTACCTACAATGCAGAATGTGGCAGCAAAGGCCTCAACACACGACAGCTTGCAAGGCTTGCCGTAGTTGACGGGGTTTGCCGCTACAAGGTACGGCAGTAACCTGGGATGAGTTCCAACCATCTTATTAAAGGGAGTCTCCTCCAGTTTTGCCCAGGAACAATCGATCACTGCTACCCCGCTTTGTGCCACAATCGCTCTGTGGAAGTTTTTTTAATCACAAACTATTTAATTATCATTTGATCAAGAAATGTAGGGATTAATGGTAATATAATTTTGATAATCAATGATAATAATAATCAATCCCTAACCCATTTTAGTTTGTATTCTAGTAAGAAACACTAACATCTAGGCCTGGCAATTTAAAAATGGTAAGATTAGCTTGGTATCTTTGTTTCATTTTATATGATATGCTTTTTTGGCTACTGATCAGACATAAAAAATCTTAAAATCAAACATACATTAAATTAAATGATGACTGGATGAATTATGTCATGTGTCAGCTTACATTTTGTCTCATGAATCATTATCTATTCTAATAGTACAAAATTTACAGATTATTTGAAAGCTTTCAGTGATTTAAATGGGTGTTGAATGGAGGAAAAAACTCTACACACCTGTCTGCTGGTGTCACATACTTTGTGCCCATTGGACTCAGTATGAGTCCATTAAATCTCTGATTGAGGCGTAGGTTGCGTACAAAGCCCTTGCGTACCAACTTTCTGCCGGTACAACGTTTGGGATCACAGTGACCCAACTCCCACATGGCAAGTGGACAAGGCAGTTTCACCTGCGGGGCCTCTGCTCCCTCTTCTAGGTGGAGACTTGCTGAAAAACACAGTGACAGAGGACAGAGTACATGGTACTTACACTTTTTGGGTTTTTCGTTTTTTAGAACTTTGCACTTTATTCTCAATTACATCGATCTATCACCAATTAACTATTATTCACTTACTATGTATCAATATAGCATGAATTAACACAGGTCGAGTGCTTTTATATTTCATATGTGCACATTTGAAAAGAACATGAACAGCCAACACTATTTCACCCATTCAGCTTTAATCTTACAAGGTTAATACATCAACAACTGATGGTCCTATACTAAAATACAGGAGTTCCTTATTTTAAATACTTTGATACATTTATCCTTTCTAGAATATTTAACATAGCATTTTAGACAGGAGAACTATTGCACTTTGTTAAATCTTGGTTTTGTTGCCCACATGTATAATAACATGAGGAAGTTGAAGCAGTGACACATATTTTTAGATTGTAAATAGTCAATGCATTATTACCTTCAAAAGCAGTGTGCATATCTTCTGTAAAGGCCTCTAAGGATTTCCCCTTCATTTTATGCCTTTTGTCTTTGGCCTTGTTGTCAGGGCGCACGAACTTGCCTTGTTTCTTTCGTCCCATGTTGAAAGCAGTGGACAGCTACTCAGTCAGGTTACCTACTGCCAGATTACAGTGTGCATTTAAACTAACCACCATCTGTTTACGTGCTTACACTCACATTAGCTCGCTAGCTATCCCACTGACATCAGCATGTCTAAAGACTTTATCTCGTAAAGAGGAAACGTTTCGTTGTGTATCTACGCGAGCTCAAAGATATTATCTGTTGTCAGCCTCCGTTTGTACCGCAATGCTTTATATATAATTTTTAAAAACAGTTTAGTTGGCTTTGGGTAACTCTGTATCGTGGAAAGCACGTCGTATTCTTAAAAAAACGCGCATGCGCACATATTATTTTCATCACGTGACATATCACCTGACAAATGACCAAGAAAGCAGGAAATGTAGCTAGAAAACAAACGAATAACACATTTAGTCACTCAGTAATCAGCCATGGATTGTTTATGTAACGGGATACATCCTTTATTAAGGCTGTGGATGGTCTATGTGTCTCTTTTCAGTAAGTGCTTACATACTCAGCTCAGTGTACTTTGTTTTATGTTGCAGTAATACCAAACCAGATGCGCCACATTGTATGGTGTGTGTTCATTGAGCTCAATTGGGTCTGATGTTGACTTGTTTTATTTACAGTGAGCCATGGATTCGCCGGTAAAATGAAAATAGTAGAGGAGCCAAACACATTTGGGTACGTTAAGCTAAAACATATGTCACAGTGTGCGCCGTGTTGACATTAGGCCCCTTTTTGACTTATTTCCTCTGTGTTTAGGTTGAACAATCCCTTTCTGGCTCAGGGAAGCAGGCTACAACCTAGAGTGACCCCATATCCAGTGTCTGGTAAAAAAAAATAAAATAGTTTCACATAATGTAAAGTCTACATTTAGTTTTATCTTTTGTTCTAATGTTGTGAAGGAAAAGGGCAGATGTTGACTGGAAGTTATCAAGAGATTTTCTGTTGATCAACTCATTACTTATCATATCAACATTAATGTCTTCCTCAAGGCCCTACACATCTTCAGCGGCTTGCTGGAAAGTGCTTCAGTTTCACAGAGTCAATGTGAGTATTTTACTTCACATATCACATGAGCCCTACATTTGGGTTTTTATCCCCCATTTCTGCTGGCTCTATGCAATGACCCGTTTTGGATGCTAATAGTTGGATTCATTACATCAGAGTATCTAGAATGAAACAAACATTACAGGGTATTTTTGTGCCTGGTCATTTTGCAGGTATAAATATGAATTCTGTCCATTTCACAACATCACCCAACATGAGCAGTCATTTAGATGGAACGCCTACAGTGGGATACTGGGGTAAGATGCAGTTCATTTAACTTAATGCTACCTACAGACCCCTTTATCGCAAATAGTACCATGTGAAATATTGCAAAATAAGCTGTATTTTTGTTTTTAGAGCAGCCTTTTGTGTATTCCTAACAGGATCTGGCAGGAGTGGGAAATCACTAACAACACATTCACAGGCATGTGGATGAGAGATGGGGATGCTTGTGGGACCAGAAACAGGGAAACGAAGGTGTGTGGTGTTTTAAAGGTTTCAGCACATTCTTCATGTAATGCTATTTAGGAGCTCCATCAGGATTCTTTTAATGTCTGAGTTTCTTCTTAAATATAAGACCAATTTAGGAGATAATGAATGAAACCTGAACATCAAACTTATCATTTCATACCCAATCAGCCTATCAACTTAAAATCATTGTCACAATTAAATTAGACCACTAGAAAATTTGTTTTGTAACTTGTTTCTCATCATGTTTCTGTAGGTGATTCTGGTCTGCGGTACAAGCAGCAAGCTTGCCCAAGTCTCAGAGCCCAGTACGTGTGTGTACTCACTAACGTTTGAGACCCCACTTGTTTGCCATCCACATTCTCTTTTAGGTAAGAACAAATCTTATAGCACAAGTCAGCAGGGTTAAGTCAGTGTTGACAGTGATTTCTTATCATGTGTATGCTCCTTTTTAAGTGTACCCGACACTGAGTGAGAAGCTGCAAAAGGAATGGGATGAAGCTGAGCAGGCTCGCTACGAAGGTCTTCTTACTGAGCAGGTACAAACCAGTGGCTGACAGATCAAATCAAAACGGCACGAATGGCTTGATCACTTGCAGGCTAATGATGTATAGATGTACATGTATAGGTTAGGGTTCCCAGAATGATTTAAACAAATACATATAGTCCTTTGTTCCATTTACATTTCAAAACTCAAAGCCCAGCCCTTTTTTATTTTTAAAGGTACTAGTTTCCCATTTTTATTCCAGTGTCTAATGGTCTTGTCCACTAACACACAATGTGTGTCTGCTGCAGGGATACAACAATCTTTTGAGGGATATTTTTGAAGATGCTGGTCTCCTGAAGAGCCTAAAAGTCAAGATAAAGCTGCCAGAAGTTGCAGCTGATTCAGGAACACACAACTCTTTACAGAAATGCACAGAGGTGTGTGTATTCATGTTCTCTTCCAAATAACAGCCTACAAAATGTGTACTATTATTACAATACTACTTTAAGTGTGTGACAGAAACTTTATATTCTCTCCATATATATTTTTCATACAGGATTTCCAAAAGCAGAGAGAAGAGATTGAGAGACTGCGCGCTCTTCTCACTCAGCACAATATTCCTTTTGATTCAAAGCAAAGTAAGTCGGCAACTATCCTGCTTTACTCATTCAAGTTTTCTAAAATGTGTAATAATATTTATATGCAATATCTTTGTTATGTTATAGATGAAGGAAAAACCACAGTGAGTACAACAGTTAAGGACCAACACCTAAGGGGAGACAATGGCCTTTTTGATCTGCAGTGAACATCTCCCAGAGCAAGCCACCTTCACCAATTGTGTGCATTGAGCAGGTTTTAAAGACTTTGTTGGTCAGTGTGAGCGACAAAGACAGCTGCTGGACATTATTGCCGTCACTGGTGACCGCACTAAAGGTTATTTTAAACAAGTGACAGTAAGAAAAACTGAACTTGTTAGGTCATTACAAAGACCTTTTTTTTTTTTTCATGACGGTCGACCAGATCTCTCCAGGATTTTCATCAGAAAGGATAATCTTGTTAATGAATCAAACGACGCAAGATGTTGATGAATAAAAAATGGTTTTAAGAGAAAATGAAAAGTTTTTGAGAGGGAATAAAAAGTTTAATATATTCATGTTTCAACATTTGCTTCAGCAGGCTTACAAAGAGAATATTGAGTCCCTAAAAACCATTACTGGTAACCATTACAGGTAAAGAATTAGTAACTCATTAGTACTCAAGTACTCATACCATATTTGTCTCCTTTCCCACTTTTGGTGCCCTAAAAACACTGAACACCTTGTTCCAGTTAGTGGACACTATTGGAAAATATCTACAAAGGGTACAAGTGGAATTCAAAAAGTGGACAGAACAAAACATTTGATTAAATAACGTGTGTGTGTGTGTGTGTGTGTGTGTGTGTGTGTGTGTGTGTGTGTGTGTGTGTGTGTGTGTGTGTGTGTGTGTGTGTGTGTGTGTGTGTGTGTGTGTGTGTGTGTGTGTGTGTGTGTGTGTGTGTGTGTGTGTGTGTGTGTAAAATAAATCTTGTGGTGTTATTTTTGTGTGTGGCTGTGAGAGACACATTTAAATGTATTTTGAATATTAAGTTTACTGTATTTGGGTGTATTTTTATAAATCCAGGAAGTGATGTAAACAGCCTTCACCCACATATAGAGTCTCAGTTTCCTTCCTGAAAAAGTTTGTAACCTTACAGTAAACACATGTGCTTCAGTAGCGCAGAAGGCCCTACATTCTCCCTGAAACTGCAGCTAGCACTGGCAGCTGCTCCTATACCTACTGTATATCTGTTCTGGAAATAGAGTTGGGAATTGGTAGATAAGCAGAGACATACAAATCTCAAATGCACATGTATGAAACATTAACCGTTAGGCTGGAAGGAGTTTTGGTGATAAGTTAGTTGTAAAACCAAAACACGTTAATCACACTTATACCTTGAGTGGATGAGAAAAGTTATTCTCATTGGTGACTTCAGATTATGGGCTTTGACAGGCACAAACATGTCTCGACTACAAACATTCCTGAGACTTTTAACTCCAGCAGTCTCTAAGCTTTCTGTATCATCTATCGGGATTTACATCTCTCCTCATCTGTCCAAAATGGTCAAACTGGACGCTGTACTCTGAACATTTGGAGTTTAAAAAAAGTAGTGAAAAACTACTTTTAATTACAGTGTAACATGTATTAATAAAATGAGATTTCATGTTTTATAAAATGGTTTGGGTGACTGATTACAAATAGGCAATTTAATAACATCAAGAAATTGAGAAGAAAATGTACCTAGACATTAAAATAAAAAATGTGAGCAATACTGATAATTTAATGAAAACTCATCCTTTCCCCAAAGCAATCTTCCAAAAAACTACATATAAAACAACATGTTTTAATCATAGCCTGAGACCAGGACAATCATTCAGTCCACTGATAAAACAAACATGGTTCAGTCTTTTTTTTTTTTAGTTGGTCTCTTTCTTTGATGGTGGTGGGTTCAGGAGAGCAGCTGTATAAGTTCTCTGGCTCTGTGCGCCCTCTGTTGGACAGCTTTGTCCTCTGGTGCTTGTCCTGACTCTTCAACCAGGGCTAAGGCCTTCTTCACTGTGGTGTCTTTGGCTCCTCCACGCAGCCCCTCCAGGTACTGGAGCAGTATGGGAAACTTCTCATCAGGGATCTGAGAACGAGTATTTTAAATGATTATGTTACTTGAATGTTCTTGTCTGTCCATTTCACATATTATAATTCCCCTTGTCCAGGGGTGGGTAGTAACGGATTTCAAGTAACACACGAGTAAAAAAGTATTTTAAAAGGACTTTTTAAACTGTACTTCTACTTTTTACTTTGCTACATTTGCCATTTAAACCTTTGTCACAACTTGTCTGCTCTAAATGCAGGGATTGAGTGTAGAGGGGGAGCGAGTGATCTGCTGCAGATGCCAAGTTGCAGCTGTGTGGAAGAAAAATAATCACCACCTGTCTTTTGACCAAGATGCGATGATGAAGGAGCAAAAGCTAGTACAGGAGGCAGCTTCTAGTGACATTCTCTCCACTTCTTATACTAAAATTTAGAGAACAGTTACATGGTGAAGTGCTTGCTGTGGTGAGCTCTTTGCTTTTAAAAACTCCTTCTTCAAGCACACTGAAGTATATATACATTGCATATACTGTAGGTGAAAATGTAGTTAGCAAGCAAATGTTAGCTATGTTAATCCTTCATGTGAAACGTTAATCTTTGATGTTATGATAATGACACTAACTCATCTAGTAACTAGTGGTCTACGGCCAGTGAGCTTTTAAAATGGTGTGATTTAGAAAGCAGTGAACCTAGTGTAATGCCAACTAAAACCCTAACATTACTTTCATAGTTGTAGTAGTTATACACCCTAAAAAAATATTAGTATGGAAAGTTACTTTACTTTGAGTAATTTACACTGCACATTTTTACTTTTACTTGAGGTTTTTTTAACTTTTACTAAGTTATAGATTTTCAGTACTCTACCAAACATTGTCCTTTCCTCATAAATCTACAGTATATTGTACGCCTAAAACAAATTAATTTTAAAAAGGCAGCACAAGCGAGCGTCTTAATATGTATTTTTAGGGCAGTTCATAAAGACTGATGAGGTGAAATATTCAGATATACTAAAAATGAACTTCTGGCAAATTCATCTTTCTGTTCTACAAGAAAGTCTGTAGCAGTGCTTCGTACAGCTCAACCATGCTACATTAAAAAAATGTTAGTTAAAAAGAAATTCATTTAGATTAGAGAGTGGGTGTAACTCACAAACAATCAAACAGGAAGACATAGCTCTGAGGTTAGCACCCCCCTCTCTCTTTACCTCAGCTGTGAAAAAAATCCCCCATCGTCAAACCCTAATGCAGAATATTTTTACCTTTTCGGAGTCGAACATATGCTGTAGTAACCACGTCTGCCTGGTCTTCTGGAACTTCCACTTTGTACGGGTTTCAGCCCAGCTGCAAAGACAAAACCAGTGTGAGTTTTACGTGTGGGCTGCAGTACTTCATACCACAGAGTTACTTTATTCTGAGTTGCTTTATAGTGCTCCCATATACAGACAGGTGACAAACTAAAGGAAAAATCTTAATGAAAGAGTGGAGAAACATGACAAATGCAGATGCTTTAATACAGGAAACAAGTGGTCATTGAATAGATTAAAAAGATAATGATGCAAATCAATTGAACACCTATGGCAGAATGGAGAGGGTTCCAGAGACTCAGAGGTTTGTGTTGGTTTTCCTTTAAATTGTCACCCATATGGGTAAAAACAAAGATCTTTCAAACTAAATGCCCCACATTTGCCACACAGACTTTCTGCTTTTTGGTCTCAAGTTGAGATAACCCTAGTGACATCATCAGGGTTATTTTATCAGACTTCAGGAAGCTCCTTCAGGCACAGAGGACAACTGGTTTTCACACCTTTAAGACACAATTCAGTTAATTCACCATACTCAAACAACAACCTCAACCATTACCAACAACCTCAACCATTACCAAAACCTGCCTGACACATTCATAGTAAAACATAGAGGGTATAATGGTTGAGGCTGTTGTTTGTGTGTGGTGAATGAATTGAATCTTAAATGTGTGAAAACCAGTTGTAAGCTCTTTCAGGCACAAAGAGCACAACTCTTCTCAATCTACAGACCGTGGTTCGCCTTCCATGGAGCCATGTTGAACCATGTAGCCCAGAAGGAACAAACCAAGCACTTGCTCTAGATAGGGCTTTTCGAGCGTTTTGTGGTCACACTTCACACTTAGAAGGGGAGGGTGAAGCAATCTGCAACTACAGTGCCACTAAATCCAACACACAGGTCCTCTAAAATGTGAAAAATAAATGTACATTTTGTATATATGCAGTGTTTTTGAGCCATTTACATCTTGCTTCCTGGTTATGTGGATTCAGACTTCATCATAAGCAGGAGCTCTGTGGTCTTTCTTACCAGGTGAGGTAATCTAAGGCCTGCTGAGCCGCAGTTGGTCCTGATGTTTCAGTTCTCTCTAAGGTCTCTCCCTCAGCTTTAAGCCTCTTCTTCTCTTCCTTTTTCAGGATCTTCTTCATCTTCCTCTCCAGAACCCTCTTCTCCTCAGGGGTCAAGTCCTCCTCTCCCTCCAGCTCATGTGTCCCCTCTGGGCCACGGGGTGGATCAGAAATCTGTCACAACAAAGCAATACAAGCATTCATGGGAGTTATCTACATTAACAGACCTTCCTTTGTTGACCCTTATCATTTTCTTGTGTTTTTGTGAAACTATTATCAAACATCCCTAAATAACTCACACTGACTGTGATTGAACGATAAGAAAATGTTAGAACAATCATTTCACTTTGTGTACATTAAAGGCCATTTTCTTGAATACGTAAAGTTTGATTTGTTCTGACTGAAAAATAAACATGACATTTTGTTGTTCGGCCGCATTAAAGACAAATGAAAGCTAAATGCGCCTTTTGAGTTTGGAAAACTTCCTGTTGCGCTGCAGCTCAGAGGGACGTTTCCTGTTTCTGCAGCCTTATGAGGTCAGCATCACACTCATTTAACTAGGTGGCAACTGTGGTGTGCAACATCCCTTCTGCATTGCATGCGAAACACTCTCTAGACTATCTACTGCGCATAGTTGCACTGTTTAAAAATAACCACCTGTTTAGTCAGTTTTTTGCAGCGCAAGAAATCTATAAAACGAGGTGTTATGTGAGTGAATTTTGAACTGGTTTCAGTTGCATGACTAAACTACCACAGAGAAAAATAAAAATAAATATTTTTTTTCTAACAAGGTGAAAACTAAAGAGAAAGAAAGAACCAAATTACAGCCATATATCTGCTGTAGCCAGTAACCATAACACAACGTAAATACTGTGTTTAACTCTCAGGGGAAGTAAAACAAGGGACTCTGTATGTTCTCTGATTTACCAGACCTCTCTCTGCATGGTGATGAAAAAAAAAGAGGGAGGGGAGGAAAAGATTTTGATCACATGGCCACGAAGTCATTTTGAAAGTATGCTGACGGCGTATTGCCCACAGAAATATAAGAAGTCCTTTACAGTGAGCATCATTTTTAGAGCTTTGAGTCAATCAGCAGCGTTGGGCTGGTGGATACAAAACAGAAGACGAGCGGGTGACGAAAGCAAAAAATGGTAAGTGGAAACATGTGTTTTTACTGCGCAGGGAGTTCCTCAAAGGGGAACAGACAAAGAGTAGCCAACAGGGACATGTGGTTGTAGAGAAGATTTCAGAAAGAAAACAATTCTTATTAAAAGCTAGTCAGCACTGTTTATATTTTTTAGAGATCTATAATGATAATTTGCAATAAGTTCAAATTTTAGCTCAACTTTAAGCTACTATAGGAAGGAAATGTACTATATGTTGTAAGAGTATGTTCCTGTGGAAACCCTATTTAATGCAATAGTAACACTGTCTGAAATGTATAAGAAACAGATGATACATTAGTTTAAATACTCAAACAAGGTTGCTCTAAAAATGTATTTACACTTGTTTTTGTGCACTGAAAGAGCAGCTGATTTACAGACACCAGGCGATAAATACTTGTAACTAAATTATCTTGAACTTTGCTGATAGTTCACTAGAGCTCTGTTCATCCCGATTGGAGGAAATGTTTGACAAACAGTGGAGAGTGATGATAAGGACAGGATCTCATCAGTGGGTGTTTTCTCTTTTTGTTTCCAGTCTAATGAAAGCCTGAACTCGACCGAGAGGAGCACCACACCTCTATTTTCTGACAGTTCCACCATCATGAACACCACCACCACCACCACCATCATCATGGGCATGTCTAATTCAACATTCTCCTCTATGACCGAAGATGAAATTGCAGCCAATGATCTAACCTCCAGAGCTAACTATGTCTACAGTTTCTTAGCCGTGTTGGGCTTCATCGCCAGCTTCTTCCTGCTCTACAGCTTCATCCACACCTACAGAGCCCAAAGAAGCCCAGCCTGGCTCGATTGCCTGCTCTGGGCCTTCTGTGGCTTCCAGCTGCTGCTCGTGCTCCTCTCTCTCCACGCTGTGGCCTACAGACCTAAGTACCTCTGGACCACAGGTTTGGGCTGTGCTGCTCTCTCCTTCACAATCAACACAGCCTCTCTGTGTGGCCTGTTGGTCTTAGTGCTCATGGCTTATGTCCTGACTCTGGATCCACCATCCCATGCCCTGCTGAGGAAGCCTGGGGTCTGTGGGACTCTGGTGATCCTGACTTCTGTTCTGATTTCTCTGCTGCTGGCTGGGCTTCGTGGACCCAGAGATGGTCTACAGGAAACGAGCAAGTGTTTTATGGATCTAGTCAGTGCTGGAGCTTCGTATGCAGCTGCTAGGTTGTGTCTGGCTGTTTTGATTCCCTACGTCCTCCAAGCGGGACTTCTAATAGGTGGCTGCGTCCGGCAGCGGAAATCTAAGGGACGTTTCCTCTCTGGCTCCGAGGAGGGTCCTGTGTTCCTGACAGTCACCATGGTTGTGTTCTTCTGCCAGCTCTTCTACAGCGTGGCGCTGGTGAGAGGAGCACAGTCAGAGAGGAAGGTTCGAGAGCGAGCGTTCATCAGCGTGGCAGAGTTTGTACTGTTCTCGGGGAGCAGCGCCAGCCTGCTGCTGGTGCTGTTCATGCACAGGCCGTGTCGAGAGAGTCTCCACGGAGTGTTTAGTCAGCTGAGGGACTGGTGTCGAAGCCGAGGGCGCACACAGCCCACCAGAAACATCATAGCTCCCCACATTGAGATCACAGACACCCTGCAGGACATAGAGTCATAGAGGAAAAAAGCTCTCTCATCTATGTGAACAGGACTCTATTGATGCATCAAATTAAAGACTTTTGACATCTGATGTATTAGACACATTCTTATTAACTTTTTTAGTGCTTTTGCTATTTCTTTTTCTGTTATGAGTGACAATGTTAAGGTTTTTACATACATGCAATTCCATTTTTAGTGTCTCCAGTAAATGAAAGTTTGCTTAGCTATTTTTCATTTCATTTTTTTGTACATTTTTAGTTTTCAAAAAAATTGCTGTACATTGTGCAACATGTTGGTATAGTCCTTACTGTTACTATAATAACAATGTTATTATTATTATTATTAATAATGTTCATATAGTTTTTTATAAATAAACCATGAACAAGACAATTTTAAAAAAGGACTTCCTGACAGTAGAAAGTGCAATTTTATACATCTTGAACCTGCTCTTTGCCACCTCGCTTTTCTTGGAAAACTGACTTTGCATTAACATGTTTTGCACAAAAGCCCGTTTATAAAAAATGCCTGGAAAAAACATTCCCTGAATGCCACACAGGAAACATTTAGTCAAGGAAAAAAAAAGTCAGATTCTAAGTTCAGGCCAACAGTGCCAATATCTTCATGTCATTATATTTAAAGCCATTAAAGAACTAATACAAGCCAGACAAGTCAACTCATTCCAAGAAACTGATGGGCACCAGTTCGAGGAATAACCGACCTACATGGATCACATATTGCATTGGTGCCAACAGAGAGTGACACAAAACCAGGGACCAGCAGGAAAATTAATAGGAGCCGGGTTGCATAAGATGTGACGTCATGTGAAATGTGCAAAATCATAGTGGCAATGCTTTAGGTCAGAGATATATGTTACAGAATAATTCAATCCAAAATGCAATGCATTACAGAATTAACATGCTAAATCATCTACAGTCTCAAACAGGTGCCTACAAATCAAAACCAAAAAGCAAAAGTGCAGCTAAATAAAGAAGTCAGACTCCCCACCTGTCCATCTTGTTTTGTGTAAATACACTGTTCAGTCTGTCTTTGCTAAAAGGCCATGGACTCCCATATTTATATATTTTAACATTCTACAATCAAAGCCAGCGTTGAAAAGTTGGCTCAGTGTCCCAGTTTGACAATAATTATACATGGAATAGATAATTTCATGTAAAAATATACAGGTGATGATCAACATGACTACTTAGCATGTTGCTAATAAAGTGAAGCTATAATTAAAAAAACATTGTTTTCATGTTTGGCTTAAAGATCTAACGTGTGCGTGTGTGCGTATTGTGCGTTTGTGTTACTCGCTGTAATAGGTGGGAGGCACCACAACCCTTCCCTCTCCTGGATTTACTGTGACACCTGCTTTCATATTCACCACCATAAAGACCGATAGGTTTGGAGGACCTTCAATGCCGTGCAAGGAAACTAAGGTACGTTTACAATATTCTATATTTATCTATATAAATGACAAATTTACAAAATTACTGTATTTCAAAGACAACTGACTTAATTGTCATTACATTTGTTATATAAGTAAGTTAAATAAGTGTTTTGGACTATTGTATTCCATTATTAGATAATCAACAGTAGAGAGGTCAGGTAACAAGAGAGGGAGAGAGGGAGAGCACAAAAACTGGACTAACATGCAACAAAGGTCCCTGCTCAGACTCGAACCAGGGACATAGTCTAGTAATCTAGTAGCCCTGGTAGTCTAAACCCCTAAATTATCAGGGCAACCCATTATAACAATGTTGTATCCTCAGAAGGTTACTTTAGGGCATTTTATAGCATTATTTTTTAAACTTTAATAATTAAACTGCAGGCAGTTGGACTGATTTTGAGGACAAAGAGTTACAGCAGAGCTTTGAGATTATGGTTAACTATATGCTTTTATCTTTTTAACATTAATATAGCAGCAAACAACTATTTGCTATGTAAAGATATAGTGAAGGCGTCCTGAGCAGAGAATGTCGTCACACTCCCTCTCTCTGTTTTGATGCTCGAACTTTCAACAGCCTTGCTCTCTATAAATCAGCATCTGCCAGTGAAAAACCCATATCAATCGACCACCAAGTGCATGTGCATCTCTTCGTAAGAACTCGAACTACTGTTTTTCTTATCTACCTCTGTGAATTAAGAATTTATTTTGACCAAACCAGAGTTAGTGATTGTTGCTGGAACAGTGTAAAGACTAACAAAGATGGCTTTGGTAAGTTTTAGTTTGTTTTTAGTGCTGGTGTTGATGATCTAGTACGACATCTAGTCTGAAAGTCGTACACAGCACGTTTAATCACAAATTATAAAGTTATTTTTAAGTGACCATCAAATAATATACACTACATTGAAATCTATTGTCATTTATTGATAATGTGCACAGAACCTTTGGCTTCAGAAGGATTAATTCACGTTAAAGCTAGGTCCTAAGAAGCTGAAAACAAGCTGTTAACTTACCAAACTTCTATTTTCTGTCTAGAACAAAGTGTGGGCATCAACTCCACTATACAGCTAAGAAGACCACAGTGCATAAAAGGGGAAGGAGATGGCACCAGGGATTTCACAGAGGCTTAAAACCCATGGAAAACCAAGACCTATGGCAACTTAACACGAGGTCAAAGCAAAGGTTTAATATGGACAAGACCATGTATGTGGACTACAGAGGCATCATGGAGAATCACTTGTCTGTTAAACAGCTAAATTACACACAAAAGGCAGTCGTCTCAGATTTTCTGCAGGCGGCTTCAGAGAGCCCTCACCATTATATTATTAGCCTCTTCCTCTCCAGCATCTACACTATATTTCTGTTTCCTATCGGCTTCGTTGGGAACATCCTCATCTTAGTGGTCAACCTGGACCACAGGGGCCGCTTCACGGCCCCGGACCTCTACTTTGTGAACCTGGCCGTGGCCGACCTCGCCCTTGTTGCCGACTCTCTGATCGAGGTGTTCAACCTGAAGCAGGGCTACTATGACATGGCCAGCCTCTGCACCTTCATGAACCTTTTCCAGCAGCTCAACATGTACAGCAGCGTCTTCTTCTTAACCTGGATGAGCTTCGACCGGTTTGTCGCACTGACTGGCCTCATAGGTCGCAGCATGCCGCGCGCACGCCTCAGCTGCTGCCTTATCTGGGTGTCCTCATCTTTGTTCACCGTGCTCCCTTTTGCTATTGCTCAAAGGCAGCACGCCGGAGAGCTCCATTTCTGCTTCGCCAACGTGACCCAGATTCAGTGGCTGGAGGTGACGCTGGGTTTCTTGCTGCCTTTTTGCATCTTGGGTCTGTGCTACTGGAGAATAGCACGGGTGCTTCAGAAAAACGGCCCACAGCAGAGGCCTCGCAGGCAGAAAGCCCTGCGGTTGATCTCAGCAGCTGTGTTAGTCTTCTTCCTCTGCTGGCTCCCGGAGAATGTGTTTATAAGTGTTCACCTTCTGAGAGGTGACACAGACGGCAGCAGCACACTGTGGCAGGACTACCCCTTGACAGGTCATGCGGTCAGACTGGCGGCCTTCTCAAACAGCTGCCTGAACCCACTCATCTACAGTTTCCTTGGGGAGACCTTTCAGGAGAAACTGAGGCTTTTTCTCCAAGAGAAGAGCAGATGTGCCAAGCTGCACAGATCAGGCTCAGGAAGATCCGTCTATGTACAAGCTGCAAGCACAAGCAGCCATGCAATATGCGACAGACCAGGCCAGTCCACACATTTAAGCTCCAACATCCTTCCACAAACTGTTATACTCCCTTCAAATAAATACCAACTGCAGGTCGGTCACACAGAAACTACAGAACAACATGTCTGTGCCATGAGTGTGAAGACAGTTTTCATTAATGGACAATGTAAAAGAAAGGGCTCAAACTGTTGTGGAAACTCTTCACCTATTTAAAAAGGTCCATCCATGCCTACCATTTCTTGGGAATTTTGGATCAAGTGTTTTTACAGATCAGATTATCAAATTAAATGTCAGCCTTTTTAGACATTTCTGATTGCACTTTTTCATTTAAATTCAACTATTCAACTCAGCTGTAAGAGTAATATGTGAATTACATCATTTTTAAAGCATTAAAAACACAACGTTTAGCTGGTCTAAACTGTGATTATCAGTGAATTTGTGCACATTGTTTTTAGAACACAATTGGATGTACGAGAGAGTTATTACCAGCACTAGTAAAAAAAATTCTCTGTACAGAGTTCACCCGAGCATTCACAGAAACCAGCAACATAAAGCGATGTGCACATTTCAAAGAAAACAAAAGGAAACGGTGAACACTCTTACCTCTGTTTGTCCTGTCGCTTGTTTCTTTTTGCGTTTTTTTTCCTTTTTCTGTTTTTTATCAGCTGGTGTGACTGTCACATCTGAAGGCTCCTGAATGAAATAAACATTTGGTTTTTAAAGGCATTCTCATGTTGTGTCATCTAAAACAGGCACAGATACAAGGGACTGTACTACTCACCTCCACTTCCATCTTCTTCCTTTTCTTTTGTTCTTTAGTGTTCATCATTTCTTCTGCGTGAACCTCGCTGGCATTCGAGCTCAACTTCTTCCTTTTAGGAGGATTTGTGTCTGGTTTCAAGGATTTGTCTTTAGCCATGAGATTATTTACTCCTACAAGCAAAAACATGTCACTAGAGAACTGTGTGCGGTATTAAACGGACAGACAACAAACCTTAGAGACTGAGAAGGATAAGTGCTTTTCTTAATTTGCTGTATTAAACTTTTCATGACACTAACACAGAAAGAAACAGATGAGTTAAAGTACAACTGAATATGAATACTCAACTGGACTACACGTACTATTGCATAACATCTCTTTATTCCCAACTGTATCCTATTATTGTTTTCATGTCCCCATGGAAGTGATTAAATAAAGGCCGCCACGTAGAAACGCTAAAACCACTCAAACTTAATCGTGGACCAAACATTTCCTTTATCACACTGTTCTTATACACACACATACTTACTTTAACTATGATAAAAGCGTGCAGGTCTCAGCGGAAAGCACAAAACCAGCATGGGAACTCAACCAGGAAGTGATATCGCCTTAGTGAATCGTGATTTGAGGGATTTCTCTTCTCGTTCTGTGATTGGTCGACGTGTGCGGCTGCTTCAAAGACCCTCGTATCATTAAAACACAAAGTGTAACACAAAGTGTAACACAGTGAATTTAATGCAGGATATTGTTGTCACACCGTACAGCAGCTGGCACCAAGGACGTTGTGGCTCAGTGTTTTTTTTTACCTTGTTAAAAGCAGTTTACAAAATAATTTCACCTCAAGGTCCATTTAGTAGTAGGACATTTTATCGTCTACATTTACCATGGCAACAGGGCCATTTCTATCTACTAATAATAAGAAATAACATATAAGCTACGCTGGCAAACAAAATAAAAACACGTTTAATCCTTTATTATGTTAACAATAACAGTATAAAGTTATGTTTTATAAAATATCATGATGACCTCAGACAACCCTCTAACGTCACATCTTAGTGGAACGGTCCACACCAGCGTTCAGCGGTGGCCGCGGAAGCAATTCAAGGTTGCACAACGATGTGTTACATGACCTAACCAAGGTGCGTTTGGTAAGAAAAACCTTCAGTTTCATTTACCTAACGTCGTGCGTCCTAAGATGACCAATTGTCCAAGATGTCTACAACAGCAGGACGAGTTTTCGGCGGTCTGAGTCGGGGAATATTTGTTCACAGCGCAGCTTCGACCGTGAGGTGAGTCAATGTAAATCTGTGGTAAACTCTCCATGTTGGCTCTGTAGCGGTGCTGTGACTCAATGACTCAGTGTAATAAATGAATCAATGACACTCCCAATACTGAAGCTTACGGATTGTGTCAGCTGATATGAGATATGAGTGTTTGTATCTTGGTTACATACTTTAAACAGCTGCAGCCTGGTAGTTAAATGTTTCCTGTGGTATTGAGAGAGGGAGTCACATGTTGTGATAGATGTTAACCAAAATCTGTTCCTGTCATCACATTACACTTTTTGAGTTGGGCTACTGACAATGACACTCTATGTACTTGAAGTATAATTATATATTGTGTATTAGCTGCTTGTAGTGTTTAAGTTATGACTTAGATAATGTAAACTAATGGGCGGGTGGTACCAGTTTTCTTTTATAATTCACTGTCAGTGGAGAAGCTGCAGGATTAGGCTCGTTTGAGATGAGCTGCGACACATCCTGCGACCCTACAGGGGACAAATCAAAATTGATGTGAACTATATCATTAAAAAAAGAGTTAGAGCCCTAAATGTCAATGTTGGTGTTTGAGAACTAATATAAAAGCAATCTGTTGTTATGTATATAATCACATAAGAGATATGTTTGATTCTTTGGATTAAAAAGTGGCGACACTGTTTCTAATTTGCCTCACATGTATCAGTGCTGCATTTTCTAGTTGCATATTGGCTGACAGATAATATATCAATATATTGGTCCATATATAGGCCCAGTACACCTCTAGAAAAGATTTGTTTTAAGGTTGATCCTGTTATTGCCCCATTTGAGTCCCATTGCTCATCAGTCGCTATCATGAAGTATAGCAAGTCCAGATGTGGGAGAAGTATTCAGCTGCTTTACTTAATTAAAAGGTTTTACATCTAAAGTCTTACTTCACTGACAGTACAGCAATATTAACAGCACCATATATTTAAAGTTTCAAAATGAAAAGTGCTCAGTATGCAGTCGGTATACATGTAACTGTTAATGTATTACATATTATATTATTGGATATTGCACTGTATTAGTAGGCCTTACAATAACAATGTATCATTTTAATAAACTTAAGTCAAGTATCCAAAATACAAATAGTGAAGTACAAGTACATCATAAGAGTATATATTATAGTACAGCACTAAACTAAATTTTTCTTTGTCAGCAGACTGAATGGTGTGCGGTCCCTAGCTGTGAGCTTGCAGAGAACAGCAAAGTCCACAGATGATGATCAAGAGGTGAAGAATGAGCCCATCAAGTTCTCCACCAGTAAAGCCAGTTTCAGAACCTGGAAAGTGGACCGCTCCCTGGGGAGCCAATATAAGCGTCCTTGGTGGAGGGTCCTCCCATTCAGCCTGCTCACCGCCAGCTTCCTTCTGTGGTGTGCACTGAGAGAAGAGACTGACATTGATGCAGAGCTGGAGAAGCATCTGTATGAGCGGATACCCAGCTTGCTTTCAGATGAAGAGGAGGAGCAAGATAAATCAAATTAACCAATGTTGGACTTGGGATGTATATATTTATTGTGAAATGTCTAATAGTTCTAGCTGTGGCGCAAACTCAGTGCTCTGACAACCCTGGAGGTGGAGTAGTGAAGCCGTCCAGTACTATGGAAGCTTGTTTTTCCAGCAGTTACAAATTGTTTGACCATAACATGGATTAAAATGCCTTGATTGAGACACTGAACTTGGGCTTAGTCTGCATTTCTATTTATGTACATCAATTACAGCATGTTTTTATATATACACACAAATACACTCTGTACCACTTGACCCAAGTGGTAGTGTTTGGCACTTCACTAGTAATTTGTAAAGTCCTAGTTTGTCACATTGATCTGAAGTGTCCCAACTTCATGAAAATAGTTACAATCTCATGTATCCAGAAGTATCTGACGTCAAACCTAAAAAAAAAAAATTAAAAATGAACCAAGGCCAAAAGAAATTGAGGTAGCGGAAAGTTTATTTACAGCACAACAAGAAATCCTATGACATGCACACACAGGATTAAAAGGTACAGATTCTAAAATAGATTTGCAAACCTGAGAAAGGCAGTGGAATATTTTGATTCAGAATTTACATATATCAAGCTCTATTCTACAGTGAATAGGACAGTTGAAGAGAGTCAAGAGTGAAATGACAAATGAAGTACAAAAAAAAACATGCCAGAAACTACAAATGACAAATCAGGTGGCATACATGCTGGTAATAGTTCAAGATTTACAAAACAAACCCCCTGTCTTTCCCACCCACCCCTCCCTGACTAAAAAGATAAAATTCATTCATTTAGGCACGCTCTCCTCTAATTCGCCTGGCCAGCTGAATGTCCTTGGGCATGATGGTAACCCTCTTTGCGTGAATGGCGCACAGGTTGGTGTCCTCAAACAGTCCAACCAAGTATGCCTCACTGGCTTCCTACAAGGAGAGAATAACGTCAGTTATAATTATAGACAACGGAGAGGATATAACTTTGATATTAGGCACTGCTGCTCCCCCTCCCCCTCCAAAAAAGGAAAAAGATATAGCGCCATACCTGCAGAGCTCCAATAGCTGCACTCTGGAAACGCAGATCTGTCTTGAAATCCTGAGCGATTTCCCTGACAAGACGCTGGAAAGGCAGCTTCCTGATGAGCAGCTCAGTGGACTTCTGGTACCGACGGATCTCACGCAGAGCAACAGTTCCAGGCCTATAACAAATGATACGCTTCTTTTTAAGACCTCGAAAAACACATAATTTCTCACCGTTCATTGTAGCACTTTAATTATGGAAAAACAAAGACTAGGCAGCAAGAAAACTACATCAAATATGCAGATTCCTTATTGGAAAGCTGCCTGACCGACCCAATGAAACAAAGATCTTGTGTACATACACACTGCACTATGGAGTTATATGCTGCTTCTCTCAATCTGGACATAATTCATAGCAACAGCAAGAGTGAAATCCCAACAGCACCACCTGAAACAAAAACATTATCACTGTGAACATGTGTACCTGTATCTGTGGGGCTTCTTCACGCCGCCAGTGGAGGGCGCGCTTTTCCTGGCAGCTTTGGTGGCCAGCTGCTTCCTAGGCGCCTTTCCTCCGGTGGATTTACGAGCGGTCTGCTTGGTACGAGCCATAATTTACCTTCGGATCTGGAATTAAAAAAAAATATAAACACAAACAAAAGATGAGGCAAACTACAAATTAAATGTCATAAAGCACTGTTCTCAGTATTATAATCGTCGCTGCTTTGAATTGTTGTCCTCAAGAGGAAGCGTAGCACCAGTGACAGTTATATGACCCACATCCTCATTAAACAATATAAACAATTTTCTCATAAATTCTCACTTGAAACGCAAAGTTAGAGAAGTAGGAAACATTAGCTTCAGCTCACCGGTCACAGAGACGCGACTGAATATGTAGATTGATGTACAACTCGTGTGTCGGCACAGCGACGGTCTTAATGTAATAAACAAGCACATACAAAGCCCCGCCACCATTAAGCTACAGGGGACACACACGTTTCTTTGCTGTCGTTAGCAAGCGAATTTAAAGCTAACACGGACGGTTGCAAAATGGCGCCAGCTAGCTACCACAAAAGGTTTACGTCAACGTTAAGACACCGTTGCCGTCCAAATAAACCGTTTTCACGTATAATCGTTCAAGCGAAGTAAACCTTACGTGGAAGTTAAACTATAATATCGCGGGTTTCTTAGGGAGTAAAGATGTAGCTAATAGTTAGCCGACTGGCTATAGCGCGCGCCGTTTTGTTGTCAATTGGCTGACGGTTAAACGTTCGTCCAACCGTATTTTAACGGCTCTTACCGAGCTGGAAATCAACGTACACCGTACAGTTCATGATTAATAACGACGAAAGTACAAAAAAAAACACCCAACAATAATAAACTCTCTCACCACGTTACCGTTTGTGTTTATTTTCCGGGAACTCGACGTCTCCGTCTCAGGTTTCGGTTAACTCAACTGGGGAGGGAACAGGAGGAGGTATTTATAGTCTGAGAGGAGCGGGGCTCGAAGTCCCGCCCCCGGGCTCACATGATTGGTCCAAACTCAACTCCCCGACGGAATGTGATTAGTGGAGGAAAAGATGAGGATCGCTGCCTCTGAGTTTGAAAGAAAATGGGACATTAGCGTCTTCTTCTTCTTTTTCTTCTGAGGAATCGATATTCATTCATGAACCTGAAACTGCTTCTTCTTAGTCCGTACCCTGTTTTGGTTCTACATCCTCAAGATTTATAAATAATCTTTTAAATTATGGTGCTCATCGATCCCTTTCTTTTCATTAAGGGAACAAAAGGGAACAACGCTGCCCTATTGGACATTGGATATGTTATGCTATGCTATGTGTAGAAATAAGTATCTTCACCTTGAATTATGGATAGGGGAAAAAATATTATTATTACTTCACAGTCACAGTGTATTAACATGGGAATATTCAGTTTGGGATGCAGCTGCACTTATACACTAGGACGACCCCTCCTGTTTACTCTGGTCTGCTTGGCCTTTTCTTCTCCTCTTCCAGGCTGTGGAAGTCACCAGAAAGAGGAGGTTCTCCTGGGCTGGACCCTTTTAAGCTGGCCTGCACACACAGTCCCTCTTTCTCTCCGCTCCTGTATGGTCCCCTACATTTTCAGCATACAACATACTTCACTCATCCATGCACACTCCTACATCACTGATATCCTCATGTGTGTTATTCTCCCTCCTTAGTCTGAACCCTGAGCCAGTTAAACACAAGCCAGCTGTTTTGAGAGTCAATAAAATTATATTTCACCATAATCTGAAAAGATACCAAAGGCTATACATAAACTAAACACTGCTGTTACTTTCAAAACACCATATAAAACCTGTTTACAAAGCATTGCACACCTAACACAGCATGTGCATCTCTGTTCTTCCACAAATGTTTGAGAAAACCCCAGATCACAGTTTCAGCCTCTTTTCTGACAGAACCTGGATGGATCATTATGTTATTATAAGGCACCGATTGTGTTTCTGTTGCTTTCTTAGCTTACATCTGTTTAGAAAACACCCCTGTGGTCAGGCATCAGTCATCAGGTCTAGACCACAAACAGCCAGATCCTTTGTGTCTACGTTAAAAGAGGAGAGTTCAGCTGGAAACTGACACAGAGCCAGCCACCAACAGCCTGGTGACAAAATCACCCTTTCCTGTTACTCTCAGGTCAGCTTCATCAGCATACAGTGATTACTTATTTGTTTATTTTTAGCTTCTTCTTCCTGGTGTCTGCGTTACAGCCTTTATTTATAGTGTTTACTTTTGTCCTCTTTATATTCGTGACACCTGTTCTTATTTTTACAGTTTTTATACAGTTTTCTTTTTCTATTTCTGCCAAAAATGTATCCAGTACTTTGATTTTTATTGTTGTTTTTTAAGGTTGTAAAAGTTTTTTTATTATTATCTAGAGCTGTAAATTACAGCTTACTTTAGAGTCAGAATCAGTTCATCTGTAAGTGTCCTTACAGATGAATAGACACAACACCTAAGAACAAGGACACCAAAGCTGAACAAATAAAGGTAAAGTAATAGTCAGCACTATTATGTACACAATTATGTGAACAAATATTTATATAATATAAATAAATGTCTTCTGTAGGCTATAAAAAACATTGCAAGTTAATCCGTAGTGACCTTTATAACCAATTTCCTGGTCTTATATTTTAACAAAGAAGAACATAAAATCAGTGTGTAAAGTCTATTATGTAATGTGCAGTATATGTGTGTCAATCCACTTACTACCCACAGTTCAACCAACTGGGTCACGAGAACAACACCAAGCGGAACTACACGCGTTTGGGAAACTACACTTACCGGACACATTCTCACGTGACACCGATGGTAAGTGTCTGAACACAACACGATTTCACGTAAACCAAGAACATAGCAGTATCTTTCTTTAAGTGTTGGCTCCTACTGCTGCCTGTTCCTCTGAGTGAGTCCAGTTTAATGGTTCAATCTAACTTGAACTGAAAACCTGCAACACTGCCAGACTCAGCATGAGCGAGCAGCAGCTGCTGTTTATAGGTAAGTTACATTATCATTACATTACATGACGCAGCATTTAACACATGTTTCCTACCATCCTTGATGCAGGTCGATTCTAGGCTCCATTTGGGGACAAAACGTGGAAATCAAGAGTAGTGGGTTTAAAATGTTTTCATTAATGCTAGGTTATTTGTCTGTATTTGTTTACAATGAAAGTTAGAATAAGCTTTGAGGTAATTAATGCACTATTCCATATATTGTTGTGTGTGTGTGTGTGTGTGTGTGTGTGTGTGTGTTCATTCAACAGATATTGAACCTAAAACAAACAGCTCTGCTCCTGTGGACAGCACAGCTGACAAGCCCCTCTGGACTCGCACTGACAACGCCTTCAGATTTAACTTCCTCCCCGACAACTCTGCAGCTCTTCAGGAGGAGACGTCTCTATCAGACAGGAGCGAACCTGCAACGAGCCAGATATCCTTTACCGGACGGAGCTCTGCTTTCGCCTTCAACTTTCAGATTACTGCTGATACAGCTGTAGAAAACATGGAGACGACAGAGAGCCCAGACACCTCTTCTACACTCAGCCAACAAGGCGCCCAGAAGGAAAATCCTTCCCCGCTGCAGGAGGTTAACCCTCCGCCTGAACCATCAGTGCAATCAAAAGCCAAGAAGAAGAAGAAATCTGGAAAGAAAAAACCCTCGCATAGTGCTGAGCCACAGCAGAAAGCGAGTTCAGCTGAGGGGAGTGAAGGAGGCGAGGACACCGAGCTGGTCAGCGTTGAATGTTTTCCCTTAAAGTAATCATGGTAGGTTCCAGTTCATTGGCTGACCTGATGTCCGAATGTGTTTCAGAGTGCAGAAGAGCAGCTGAACAGACAGCTGGACTGGTGTATCGAGCAGCTGGAATCGGGAATGAGGTCTCAGAAGGGTACACCAAAACAGAGTATGATGTTTACCTTACAGATTATGTGACCTGTTTACACTAGTTTGTTTGATTTGATTCTTTGCTGATGTGTTCAGGGGTGTAGTGCTATAAATACAGACTGGATTTGACATGATTTAACATAACTCAGACTACGTCCTGTGCACAAATAAAACAAAAAATTTAACATTTTCTCCCCACAGAGGAGGAAGCCTCTCGTGCCCTGAAGACTCTGCGAAGCTCCAAAGCTCCTCTGGCTAAGAAGAGGCAGGTGATGAGAGCCATGACCGGTGATTACAGGAAAAAAATGGAGGAAGAGAAGACCAAGCAGTACAAACTCATTCAGAGTGGTGAGTGGATTGTAGCAGTACAGTGATTTAAAGAGTGAAAGTTGCTCACATGTAAAAATAAATAAAAATCCATCTTGTGAAAGAACTTTTAGGTGTGTTTAAGTGACAGATTCCTCCGATCCCAACAGAAATTGCATCAGCTCAGGTCAAAGTTGTGCCTGATGCTCCAAAGAAGTGTGTTTTCCACCGAAGAGCTGAAGTCAAAACCCAGACAGCCGCCACGGGGGAGAACCTGCAACAACCAGAAGCCCAGGATTCAGCTCCGACATCACAGACTCAAGAGGAGACGTCAGCTTTCGTCTTCACGCCATCAAAGGAGGAGTTTCGCTTCAATTTTCTCTGATTTGTACCCTGAAGACATGTTTCACCGTACATTATGTTGGACTGTGCCTGGACAGTGTGGGCCGAGCTGTGCACTGGATGCACTTTGTGATGCAAACAATAAAAAGCGCATGAAACAAGGGGTGAAATTGGAGATGATGGGAGGAAAAACAACACTTATAACAGTGAAAGTATTGAAAATATTCAGACATTTGGACTGCTTGTACCATATTTCTAAATAAAGCTTTTTGTATTTTTGTTGGCATTGTATTTTTAAAATGTGGATCTGTAAAATTATAAAAAAAACTAGTTATAAGTAAAGCATTGTTTGTGATAGTTTTACCAAAGGCTTGTGCCATACCTGTATAGTAAAGTCGTTTTCTGGGTGGGTTCAAAGAGCGTTTAAAAGGTTGTTCAGTAATTATCTATTTCTGACCTGCTTTATTTATTATGCTCGTACACCTGACAACCCTCTAAAGGTGTAGTTAGTAAGTGACAATCTGAATATTAAAAAATCTATTGATAATCGACCCCCCCTTCACAGTACATTTGCTAGTTGAGGAAATAACATTACATCTAGTCACATTTCTTTACAGGAGTTGTGTGCAGTTAAAAGTGTGATTTATTCTCAGATTGTTTCATTTGAAGGGGTTTAGAGGCACGAGGAGGTGAGCAAATACAGTATTTTAAGTATCCATATTGTCTTTTCATAAATCTAATCTCAAACCTGAAAAATAAATTAATGGAAAAAATTAAACTGTGACAGATTCCCCCCCCCCTAACCTGCTGACCCCTCTGGGATCAGTGCCTTAAAACAATCAGATTCATTGGCTCGTACAAACTCAAATAAAGTTTAAGACAACACTGTCCAGACATTATTATATATAGTAGTATATAACAGTGTATGTGCTGTTGAAGAGGTCTAGCAGTACCATTCAAACAGGAAAGGGCGGGGCATGGTTCAACACGAGCCCAATTGTGTGTGACACAGAAGACAAGAAAACTTTTCAAACGCTGAGAAAACAAACTAACGCTACTTGTTGACTGTAAGTTTTTGTCTCTTGACATTCGGCTACATTGTGAAATATTGGTTTAAGTTGTCGTTTGAAGAGTTTTATTTTATTCATAGTTTTTCTGGGAGCTCTGTGCGGGTTAAAACTTCATACTGGGGTCGCCAAGCTAACGTTGAGCTAGCAAACCGAGCACAATTGGGAGTTAAAGCCAGTAAAGATGTAAGTCAGCTAAAGCCATAAAGGAACTACTAGTCTGAAGCTAGTAATATTTGGCATTATTATATGTTTATCACAAGCTAACCTCTAACTTTGAACGCCTCTCGTTGTCTGATATTTAGGTAACTAAAGTGTGAATCCAGGGCTTAAAGCGTTGAACATTTAATCTGTACCTATGGTGGTAAGTCTGTGGGCTACCTGTGTTTTCAGGTGTGTGGAGGGGCGAGTGAAGAGGTAGAAAATGTCTGAGCTGAGTGACGAAGCCAGTGAGTCAGAGCAACTGGGTGCCAGTCTTTCTCTGTGGCTGGGTGACTCTCTGGTGCGACCTGAGGAGCTGGATGTCCCCCTGGACCTCCACACCGCCTGCTCCATCGGACAGTACGACGTGGTGGCAGAGTGCATCAAAAAGTGGGTGACTACATCATAATAATAATAACAATAATATCACCAGATGTGTTCAGCCTTTGTGGCACATTTCACTATGTGTACTCATCACTATGATCTTTTTAGACGGGAGGTGGACCTGAATGGCAAGAACATTGGAGGATGGACCCCACTGATGTATGCATCTTACATCGGCCATGATAACATTGCAAACCTCCTGCTGGAGGCCGGTGTGAATGTAAATGCTGCCACCGCCAAAGGATTGACCCCCCTGATGCTGGCAGCAAGCTGTGGGAATGAAAGTATTGCATACTTTCTGCTTCAGGTACAAAACGGCTCTGTCACACTGTGACTGTGCACGCCATGTTATGTTGAGTGGTCTAATGTGTTCAGATAAGCTTTATTCTTTTAATGCCAAAAGAATGGTTGCGTTGTCTGGTACAGAAAACTATTGCATGTAGGTAAAGTGTCGTAGGAAAATTTAAAACGTGAGCAAACACCAATGTCATTGTACCAACAAGGAAGGTTTCAGCAGTTTTTGCATACAATGTTTAAATTGTGTAAGTGGATTTTCATACTGTGAAATGAACGAAAAACAAATGCTTCCTGGAAAGCGTGATTTATAGTTAATGGGCTGAAACAACCAGTATGGTTCTTTTAACACAGAGGTTGATTAATACTGCTAAAAAAAACATAACTGCACCTAATATTCTTGAAGATCTGGCTAGAATTGTAACCCAGCATTAGATCAGAGTGGGCGTTGTATTTAAAACTTTCTTGATCCTTGTTGTGAGGCTTTTAAGGCAGAAAAAAGGAAAACAAATCTGGATCAAACAAACTCTAAAGCCGAAGTTTCAGGATCAGCTGGGTTTAAGAGAAGGTCTTTTTAAAAAATGGAAGAAAACTGTTTTTGTTACTGTCTTGATTTTTTGCTTTTCTTACCTCAAAAGCAAGGTGCTGAGTTGGAGCTGAAGGACTCTCGAGGTTGGACTGCTCTGTTCCACTGCACGAGCACAGGCCACCAGCAGATGGTGAAGTTCCTACTGGACAACAATGCCGATGCTAATATCAAGTGAGTGCCTTCATTCATCCCAAAAACTACACTCCAATCAGAATCAGAGGTTCTCATTACTTTTTCTTTCATCCACAGGGAACCAGGGTCTGGCTTCACTCCCCTGATGGAGGCTGCTGCTTCTGGTCATGAAATCATTGTTCAGAACCTGCTTGATCATGTGAGTAGGTTACCCCCACAAATATGGTGTTACTACTCAATGACAGAGCTACAGCACCAGGAAATTTGCACGCCACTGAGGATGGGTGGTGACGTTATACACAGAAGAGGGTCACACAGGGTTAAGGCCTTATGGCACTGACATCTGTTTTGTTTTTCTCATTTACAGAAAGTTAAAATGGATGATCGCAACGCTAAAGGAGAGACTGCCCGTGCCCTCGCCATGATGTACGGCTACACCAAGATCGTCAGTCTCATTGACTCACGCTCTCCAAGGATCAAACCAGGTACTAACTTCTTGTTTATTTTTACAAAACAGGTTATTATCCTTACTTTTTCTTGTGTTTTCTGATTAAATGTTTATTTGGTGTGTGTGTTCCAACTTGTCAGGACATTTTGAAGACCTGAGCTCCTCTGAAGACTCGGACAGCGCTCCCCCGAGGATAAGGCCGAGTCGAAACCGAGCTAAAGGCATTAGCATCCATGATGGGCCCCAGGCCATCGCCAAGTTCCGAGTAGGAGGCACCAGCAAACTGTGTGGTAGTGTCACATAAGAAATCCGGTCTGCCAACCTGTATTCATACTGGTCACATGTTAAGAGTGTTGATTCTAGTTGTCAAGTCTAATAAGTTTTTCCTTGAGTGCTGAAAGACTGCAAGAGATTTCACAGAAATTATTACGAAATGTGACAAAAATGAGGAGACATTGGCAATTAAGCAGATAGCTTTATTCTGTAAAAAAAACAAAACAAACTGGCGTGCTGCCATTTGTAGTTGTGTGTAGGACAGTTGTTTGTTAATACTGCTTTTTCTCCTCACAGAGCCGCCTGCAGCTCCGCCAGGCTACATGACGTTTCGTGATATTGGTGAACAGAGTGAGGGCATCTGCTACCGTGATGTGACCTCACCCATCAATGAGCTGGACGGCCAGAGCAACAGCAGCAGAGGTGAGAGGCACATGATTACCAGAGTCTTGTGACATCTGAAATACAAAACTCAGTTCTCACAGTTACACGTGTGCTTGGTAGAAATGCACCAAAAGAAAAACTGCACTTAGTATAATCTTTATTATATATATTATTATATATCTTTGGACACCTGCCGAAACATTTTATATGCTATCACCACAGATGACAGTCCATTCTTTGACAATGACATGCCCACCATGAGGAGCAGCAGCAGCAGCAGCGAAGGCCTTCCTCATGTGATTGGCCTCAACTGGGAAGGCTCCGTGGAGAGTAACGAGGTGAACACAAGAACACAGAAATCCCACTGATTTAGAGTCAAACACCAGATTTGTTTTTAGTGATTTAGTTTGACTGCAGTGATGGTGTAACTCTCTCCACCAGGACTCTGACCAGTGCAAAAAGAACGTCTCTCGCAGAGTCAACAAGGGCCATCACTCAAAAGGCAAGGGTCGCCATGGAATCAACGATGCAGCTCACTCCAGTGGCACAGTGAACTGTGGGATGCGGGCACATGTTGGTCTTCCACCCTCCTACACTGGCCCAAAGGCATGTCTATGTTCGCTCACTTTTTCATTTGTCAGTAATACGTCCTATAATGGTGTGTTTGGTTCATGGCAAGTTTATTCTGGACTGTCTTGGGTTCCTGATCAGCCATAAAATCGTATATTCAAATTAGGATCTGGCAGAGTTCTTGGAACAAATTGGCTTCTCAAAGTATCTCCCCTTACTTGAGGAACAAGACATTGACCTGCGGATATTTCTCACCCTGACTGAAAATGATCTCAAAGAAATAGGAATCACGTAAGAGACTCCCTCTTTAAAATTGGCCAGAGTGCATACAGTGCTAGTTTTCTCATGGTATTAAATGCTGAATCCCTTCTTGCTCTTCAGATTATTCGGACCCAAGCGTAAGATGACCTCGGCTATTGCAAGGTGGCACAGCAGTGCTCGACCTCCCAGCAATGCTCTGGAACAGGCTTACGCTGACCAGCTAGAGGCTGAGATGCAGGAGATGGCCATTCAGCTACACAAGGTAACTGCAGAGGAAAAATTCACTGCCATACAAATATTTAACATTTCTGCGTTTTACCCACAACTAACTAACTCCCTACGTAGCGCTGTGAGGAGGTGGAGAGCCTGCAGAGCCAGGTGTCACAGGAGAAGGAGCTGCGTACCGTGATGGAGGGATGTCTGATGGAGGACAAGATGGCATGGAGGAGGGTCCATGCTGAGCTCGTGGAGAACCACCGACTGGCTCAGGACATGAGTGCCTTAATGACTGAGTCAAGGGCTTGCTGTGCTGAACTGCTCTCCTGTTTTTCTACTGATGGGAACAGCAGCTCTTATACTGCCGAAGAAGATAAAACAAAAGCTGACACTGGTGTCAAAGGTGAGTTTTCCTGTGCTGGATAACAAATTATTTTGTGATTAAAAAAAATAAAATAAAAATGATTTAATGATTTTATTTCTTGCTGTAGCTGGGGATGACCTGACACGCTCCAGTGTTGTAGAGCTAATAAATAAGCTGGATTCCCATGAAGAAAAACTGGGTAAGATGGTGTAATGCTCATTGATTGAAGTGGTTTTGTGTTGTCAGTGGAGTTTAATGCTGGTGTCTGGTTGTTTCATCAACACAGCAGAGAACCTGCAAACTGTGCTTCAGAGTCTGAGGCGACTGAGTGCCTCTGAAAAAGTCTCAGATAGCTGGGAGCGACCTTAACCTTTACAGGTGACAACTTAAAAGAAACTCACACTGGATGGAGTTTGTGCTGCTCTGTGGTTGGTAAAACAGGAGAAAAAATAACCTTTGTTCCTTGTCTTTAAAGAGGCTCTTGCAAATATTTGACGGAGGGTGAACTAACCACCCTGAACAATCTCACTGAAATGGGAGAAGGCCAAAGACGAGGCCGGCCCTGCCGGACCGGAACGGCTCGGGCAGCGAAGCAGCTGACCTGCGGCTCCTCTGGGATTGGCTGATGGCCCAGAGCTCGCCAGATGTGGACAAGGCCAAGGGCAACGGCAGCTACTGCAGGGAAATGACAAACAGGCATGAAGGGTACCTGGCCCTCACACGCTTGTGCTGGTGTTAAGTGGACTCCTGTAGTTGGGTTGTGCAAAATGCACCTAAAGGAGGAGGGACTGATCGTGGATCAGAAGCTATAATACTGTGAAATGTTTCTTAAAAACTGTACTCTCTTCCTGTATGAAATGTGGCTTAAACTATGTTCATGCCGCCAGCCGAAGAGGTACATTTCTTAAAAGTAATTGTAGTTAAAAGAAGTCTTGCTTTATTTGAATGAACTCTTATTTGTATGCTGTTAGGTGTTAATAATGTCCTGCTGAATGCATTTTTAAGAGCTTAAGATGAAGGAAATGTGTGAAACCGTCAGTTAATCATTTACAACTATATGTTACACCAGGGAGCGTCTTTTCAATCCATTGTACTGTAATGTTGTGGACATTTATATATGTAGATGCAGAGATATGAATAATATTTCAGAATTACATTTTTAGCTTTTTCAAAGCAAAAAATAAAATACCCGACAGTCCAGTTGGATTTCACTCAGTGGTGCAATGAACTGGTGATCATTCAGTGGATTCTCTGCGCAGCTTCTTAAACGCAATTTGTTTTATCCTGAAATCTTGCCAAATCCTTGAAATGCAAGATTATGTGGACATTAATTAAAATCTTGTTGCCTTAAAGTTGAGGGTGTATACTTAAATACTGTATCATTTCTTTCTTTTCAATGCAACAGATCTTGTTTCAGTTTAAATGTATTTCATGGTGTAATCAGATGTAAAAGCACATTCTTGTGAGACAGGACAACTTTGCTTTATATTTTTTTATCTACAAAAATAATTATGTGACAAAAACACTGATTTCATAACAGCTCAAAGTGAATATCTGCAAATTTATTGCAAGTCCCACAGTTCATTATTTATGTTAGTAGAGAGGTGAAAGGCTGAGTGGTTATGTGCACACATGCTGGCAAAATGATCCAAACAGTAAACATAAATACCCACTAGCAGCATCGTACTTTTAGATCAGTTGTATAAAATAGTTGAAAGGTCAAGTAGCAGTAAAATGTAGTATACAACACAAGTAACAGTGTGGAAAAAATATATTGCTGTATGTTTTAGTCTGTCTGCAAATCTAAGGTGATCTGGAACCATTTTTATTTAGATTTATTCTGAAAATCTATTCATTTATTCTTTGTGCCAATTTGTGGTGCTGAGATGGATTCAGATTGCATAAAATAGAAATTAAAAAACGATCTTGCGTAGGGGTTGGGCTACAGTGTAGATCCATGTTTCACTAATATGTTACACCTCAATTGTGTTTAACATTTGTCAGTGGCTTCTTTATTACAGCTTATAAAATCTCTTAATTGGATTGATGGTGCTCTGCGTTAGACTTAAGCAGGTGTGTGGAATATTATAACATTTACCAATTATTTTAGAGTCTCTAATCAACGCTGGATATTGCTCGCCTTCACTCCTGGACTTAATGTGTGGTCCCCAGACACTCCAGGGCCTGTCCAGATGTTTGAACTGATTGGGTGGCATATCAATCTGACTGATGTGGTCAGTATTTAAATTTCTAACCCTACAGGGGCAGTTCTCGGTGTAAGGGATTCCCCATCCTGATTGTTGGGGTGTCCTCATACGAGTACATCTGAAAATCCTCTTATTGTGCCTGCAGCCTTGGCAGTAAATCAATGTGATGACAGTTGCTGCTCGGTATATGGATGTTGGCTGGAGTTTAGCTTTTATCAGCGGATCCACATACAGTAGCCTCAGACCTGCAGGTTTTTTGACAGGACAACTGTAGATTTATAAGTGGGAATGAAAACCATTAGGAGATGACGATTACTGCACCAGTGATATATTTAGCTATCACAAGTAAAGGTGCTCTTTTCTGTCTGATGCTGTTTACGAACAACCTCTGTTACTGTTCAGTTTTTTTTTCTCTCTAAATTCAAAATTGAGTGAATGAAAAGGTCATTTATGTTTTGAAATTCCCATTGCAAACAAAATAGGTCACATGGCTTCACTGATGTTTTTAATTCGTATGCATTCTGAAACGCACAAAAGCTTTCCTGTTTTGTGTGCCAGTATATAGGATGCTAATGTGTCACTAGTAAATTTCAACGAGGCAGACGGGAGTGGAAGACAGACATTTCAGACACTTCTGGCATCCAGAACGTAAATGTACCCAAACAAACACATTCAGTTTCTCAGAGTTGAGCCTGAACTGATAAAATATTCTCCATCTTGCTGCAAAAACTGACTCATATCATAAAGGTCTGCCAGTAAAAATGACAACTAGGCAGTAGCGTCCTCCAACCAGTTGCCATCAGGCTACACAGTACTGGGATGTAACAGGATAGTAACAGTCGAATTTCACCCAAGACAAAGCTGTTCCTATCTCGGTTGGCTTCTACACTCATCTGTTCTGTGTATATCACCAGTGGTGAGCTATACAAACTATCATAAACAAATAAGTGTTACTCTGAGCAGCACACATTGTGTGTACCTGGTAGACTAGAGGCTAGAGATGTTGGCGGGTTGCCAGTTGGGATTACTGGGCCCATGAGAGTATAGTGCAGTTGGGAGAAAAATGAATAAGTAGTGTTCTTTCCTCTGACTAAAGTGCCCTCGAGCAAGACTTTTTATCCTGACTGCTCCACTGGAACTGCTCAGCAGAGAAGAGTAAAAGGCTGGATGTGTTGGACAGCTGCCAGGTTTGAATATGTGCAGCTGAATGAATATATGAAGCTCAGTGCAAGCTCACATGAATTCAGTCTACACTGACTGTTACTCATCAGAAGAACTATGTATGTAATGGAAGATAAACCATTTTCTTTTAAATGTTGCTGACAAAACAGACTTCACTGGTCCAGTTTCAAGTTGCTTGAATAGAGAGTTATTTGTCATATAAATTAATTGAACTTTATCTACAGTCCTTCAAAAAAAGGTTGAGTTATTATTTACAAACAATCCACTTAAGATGAGCAGACAATTGTTCCTGTACAGCCTTCACGATTTTACTGAGGGGTTTTAAAAACAATGTAAAATGCAGCAAGTGTGAATTCACAAAAATATTGTTATATTCTTTGAATATCTATCGTAACATCTGCTTATATACAAATTCACCAGTTCCTACAACTAGGAATCTACACATGATTGTGTTTGCTCTTGAATAGCTGTCCAGGAGAGCACATATAAACCTCTTCCTCCTTTAGACTCAGACAATCTCCCCCACACACACACACACAGAGGTATCCATCTTTCAACAGTGGCAAAGGACTCCAGGCTTCCATGTGGAGGAATGAAGACATCTCGTTTGTATGTGGTGTTTGTGTGTGATCCAGGTTGGTGTGAGGACCCATTCCCACTCCCACAGAGCACCAGCGGTGTAAACGGTGATTGTGATGAGCTCAGGTGTACTCACACAGGTGTCCGCAGCCAGCGGGGCAGTGGGCGCTGCTTTTGAGCCAGTTCATAATGTGCTCCAGATGTCCACCGTGGCTGCAGCCCTGACACCACACAAACAGTCCCTTCACCACATGGTGGCACACTGCACATACACTGGCACACTGGTGGCACCTAGAGTAGAGATGTAGGGATCTTGTCAGAGGTCGGCTCATGACTGAATTCAATCAATATTCAGTGGACTGTGTAGAAGTTGCATTTAAGACAACACGAGCAATAATGACAGGAATTACACTCAAAATAACAGCAGCTGAGAGCTAATGCAGCTTGCAGTCCATCCAACAACAGCAATTTGTTGTTTGTTACACTGCAGTTTTAGTACAGAATAAACAAACAAGATAGAACATGTCAATTAGTGAACTTTAGAGATGCTAGCAGGTGGATTTGGTTACCTTTGGTTGGAGCCAGGCTAGTTATTTCCAGTTTTTATGCTAAGCTAAGATAGCTGGGTGCTAGCTGTAGCTTCATACTTAGTGTACTACAGATATGAGTGGTATTAATCTTCTTATCATTACTAGATGTTAAAATGTTTGTGCTTGTTTTACAACCAAAAGTAGTTGTTTGATCTCTCTAAAATTAAATGATGAATTTGATGTTCATACCTGTCACAAATCCAGCCCTTGTTGCTCATTGGTCGCTTGCAGTTGCTGCAGTTGATGTGCAGTGTTGTAGACGCCTGATTCAGGCAGGTGATGGCACTGCACGTACTCAACTTGATGACCTCATTGGACACGTTCCACAACTCGAATCGCTGCAGGAGGTCTATGTAAGACATGTACCAGTGCTCCTGAAATGGAAACAGAACTTGTTGAGGGTTTCCTATTTGGTCTGCTCGGATCTTAATTGCATTTTAAGACTTGGGTGTTTTAGTAGTGGACAGGTAAACTATTTAGAACTTACAGTCATACATAAGGCCTAAAAAATCCCTAAACTTTGTTGATTTTTTGATGATGAATTTCATGTACAAATACATTAAACCTAATATGTTTGATATGTGTTCAGAGAAATACCTTATCTATAGGAGCATTTTGAGCACAATATAAGCTGTTTTAACCTAAACAACTACTGCCAACAAAAAAAACCTATAGTCCAAAGCTGCTGTATTTAAATGCAGTTTTTGAACAAGGCAGCAGTGTTTTACTCACTGACCTGGGTTAGGTCATCAATCTCTTTACGGATTCGGTCCCCCAAGACGATGAGCACAGACACGGCCATCTGTACGTCGCCCTGCTCGGCGTAGTAGCTCAGCATCTCCCGCACAATGGGGCAGAAGAAGCTGGCAGGTAGATGTGGGCTGAACAGCGGCTGGGAAATGGAGATGAGTGAGAAGGACTCGATGGGTGTCAGACAGGTGACTTCTGCCTCGTTGCCGCTGACGTGTGGGGAGTCTGCTTTGTCCTGCTGAAGGTGCTCCGGAGCAGACGGGTTATCCATGATCTCGTGGCGCAGCTGGAAGGCCTCCTGGGGCAGCGTGTACTCCTGCTCCTCTGTTATGACAAAAGGAGCCGAGAGAATATTAGACAAAAGAGCGCTGAGCATGTAGGCAGTTATAAATAGCAGTTACTGAGGTAAGCAACTTTAATTTCTGCAGCGATGGGACTATGACTAACCTGTTTGGTTGTCATGCTCCATAGAGTAGAGGTCATCGTCATCCAACTCCGCATCACCGAACATATACTCAGCCTGGCCCTCGCTGCCTTCTGTCTCCTCATTTTCTGAAGGGAAATTGAATGAATGGCTTATTTATACAAGTCCTGGATATTATACAAAGAACATACGGACAACCAGATTGGCTTCTAATTTTAATGACCTTCACCTTCATTATTATTGCTTATGTGCGGGTTCCCAGGCTCCAGAAGGATGTTGTCCTGCCTGCTTTCACCTTTACTGCGGTCCAGTCTGCTCTCTGTGCCCATCACTGAACCCATTTCCTTCATGCTGAAACTGAAAAGCATAATGTACATCAGCATTAGATGTTAGTCTGTAAATGACTGACATTACCGTTTTGAGATGGCACACTAAAAAGCTAATTTACCTGTTCATTAAAGGCAAGGTGCCCAGTTTACTGAGGTTGTGGTTTGGACCAGGGGTTGTGAGGTTTGCTGGGTCAGAGAACATAATTCTCAACATGGTCCATGTTGTGGAAACCTTTTGAGTTAAAGAAAAAAAGTTAAGGTTATTTAGATTACAGTTATTGATCTAGCAGGATGTTTTTGTTGTTTATAATCTGCTAATATCTAATAATGATTCTGCTTAAAGTGTATTCACTTTAAATCAAGCAAGAAATATCTCAAAAGTGAAATGTTCATGAATAAACAAATATTGAATATGCACAGAAAGTGGGACTGAAATCCTGCAGGCTCTATCATTATTATAAAACCTTATAATAAATAGTTTTTACTCTGTCATTACTTACACCATTTCTGATGATAATGGGGTATTAAGTTTGTTGATTCAATGAATGCAAATAACCCGAGCGCAGTCATTGTAGTGCAAATGTAACAAGCTGTTTAGAGGTGCAGTGATTAGTCAATTAATCTATTTGTCAATGAAAAAGACGTCACCACTGGCTGTGTGCGTCTACATTTTTTTTAGCAAACAGTTAATCAAGAAAATAATTAGTAGAAAAGCTGCAAGTAATGTGAAATATATCATAGTTTTGCATTAATACATCTACCAATTATTTGCCACGGTTACATTTAGAGTGACAACATCAAAACCTGGCTGGAAAAAACAGCTCTTAAAAGAGATTTGTTCCTGTATTGATTTGTCTGACCTGAGGTCTTTTGAGCTCCTGGGCCACCTTGGCATTGTGATCACACAGCTCAGCAAACGGCTTCCCGCTGAGGAGGTAGAGTTGTGCTGTCTTCACAAACCAGTCCATGCGGTTACTGTCCAAATCTGTCTCAAAGACGCTAAGAGCGCTGGACACATGAGCAAACTGTTCTGTCGGGTCTGGCTTCTTGAAGAAAAAGATGGGGTAGCGGCGGTCGCCTCCAGGGTAAGGCTTTCTGTTGGCGTCACTGCTGATCAGACTCTCCTTGGCTGCAAAGGCCAAGTCACCGAACAGTCCGAAGCACAGACCCTCAGGGTTGGCCTTGTCCACGGGACGAGTGGCGTCCCTGAACATGTGTTGGTAGAGTGTGCTGTCCTTAGAGCCAGAGAGCAGGAAATGAGGGTCGTGCTGGTGGCGCCACACAATACCAGTGGTCACATCCTTGTGTTCCTCAAAGGTGGCGAAGGGAATAAAAGGCCTGCGGACATCCCACACGTAGATGTTGTGATCCACCATCATGGAACAGGTGGCTAAATGAAACTTTCTCTCAGGCCGCCACTTGACTCGTGCCACTGAGGCAATAGTCTGGACACAGTAGATCTCCTTGGCCCGGTTAGTGGTCATGTCCCACACTTTCACCATCTTGTCCCTGCCCCCAGTGGCCAGCCATCCCCTGAAATGGAAATAAAAGGAGAAAGCTATCAGCTGACGACTAAAGCACTACTAATAGCAAGTGGCAGAGACAATACAAGATACCTTTAGAAAGGAAAACCTCCCATTTCTCAGGACTATATCACAAAGTCACTTTCTCTTACCTATCATCAGGGTGCCAGTCGCAGCAGAACACAGGGCCTGTATGGGCGGTGAACATTCGCTCGTAGCGGTCCGGTCGCCTGATGTCCCACAGCTGGACGTTGCCATTCTCAAAGGATGCAGCAAAAGTGAAATAATCCTTCATGCTGAACTGGACGTCCCTAACACTCTCTGACTGACCTATAAAAAAAATCAGGGATATTAAGCAGTAACAACCACAGATATAGTTTGCTTCATAATTTCTAACAGTGAAAACATTACTTCTGCTCCAACACATTGGTGATTTTATTTCTTTCACACAATATTCTACCTGAGAAAGTGCTGACAGACTCCTTCTTGCGCAGGTCGAAGCACTTCATGAATCCATCCTGCGAGCCACTTAGCAGCATGTAAACCTCTGTGGGGTGGAAGCACACCTTGTTGACAGTGCGTTTGTGCTCAGTAAACAGCTGGTCCTGCTTGTTACGAGAGGGTTTTCCCAGGTTCCAGGTGACCACCGCCCCATTGGTGGCAGCCGTGGCCAGCAGGTTCTCCTCCATCTGGTGCCACATGACATCTGCACAGCTGAAGTTGAGCGAGGGTTTGCGGCCGACGCGTAGATTCAGCTTCTCCACAAACTGCTCCTCCTCCAGGGCGTAGATCTTGAAGATGTTGCGGCCAGCTACCACCACCTGCGTGGCGTCACGGCACACGCTGATGGCATTGGCAGGAGCGTCCAAGTGGCAGAACATAGTTCGGCCACTGACGGCACTGCTGCTCAGGGCTGTGGTAACCCGTGACATCTTCTCCATGTTCCTGGTGACGACAAAAATAATTCTACTTGAGCTCAGAAAAAATTAAAGTGAGAAGATACATCAGGTGAACTGCAAATTGATTTGCTACTTTTACAGCACTGCAAATATGAAATGATTTCAAGGCAGTTCATCATTCCACCAGAAGGTGGCACTCAAGCTAAAAAAGATATCTAACTCATACAGTACTTGCTGTAGGGGACAGGAGAGGTGGCAGTTTGTAACAAAGAAAGAAATACACAGTAATATATCTTTCTCAACATGACACGGTTGCAGTACTTACTTGGTGAAGAACCACAAGCCTGGTCAAAGTCTGCAGCAGCACAGAGTCCTCTTCATGTGTTCCCATGAGAGCCAATACGCTAGAGAGAGAGAGAGAGAGAGAGAGACAGGCATGTGAGCAACACACCGCATGATACCATCTGAGTTTACTGTTAGGACTGATATATTATATCCATCAGAAACTAAATAAAAAAATACTGAATGAAAAATGTTAACTTGTAAAACTTTTATCACACAGACATAGACAGTGACAGATGTATGCTTATGTTGCATAGACTTAACTGACTTAACATAGTGAATTATCATCAACTGAGGATTGACTATAAATGTAAGCATATACAAAGATGTTAAACTATTATTTGCACTTTCTGGATAAAACTATAAAATTAGATAAAAGAGCATGAAGTAGGGAAATTCAGCTGCATAGAGTCAAAGTCATTTTATCAGGATTAAACCTCTTGAGATGTATAATCTCGTTTTCAATATATCAGAATATCATATAATGGCCAGATGACACCCACCTTCTTGCTTTGGTGTGATAACAGATTATTATTTTTGAATACTGTCAGGTGTCCATTATGTCTGTTTATCTGTCTGTCGCGTTTCGTTCGCGTTAACCACCTTTTACCTCGTGCTAGTGATTTATTAATAGCTGCTTTGTGCTCACATGATGATGTGTTGAAAGACAAAACGATCCCAACACTGTGAGAGTTAACACTAGATTGACAACCAGTGCCACAATCCACTGCCTGATATCATTACACCCTTTATCTCTTGTGGTCGCTCCCTTTACTTCAGGGTTAAATGTGAGCTATGTACATCCAGCAGCCTCCTCGCCGAGTTCACCTGTCTGCTGGTGTGTTGGGTGCCACTGGCTTTACTTACCTCTCTCTCTCTCTCTCTCTCTCTCTCTCTCTCTCTGTGCTGTATTTGCACCATAAACATGACTGGAATGTGATGCTAATGCTAGCTGGCTAACCTGGCTACCGAGCACTTTTGCAAAGACGAAACGTGCACGACACAAGTTTTACAAGTCTGTCGGACAATTAGAGGAATATCAGAAAAAATGTGTCCTATTAGGTAACAGCGTATAGGCAAAGTCAAGAACGAAGTATTTCAGGGGACAAACCTTTCTGAAACTGTTGCTCACTGCTTGCGGTACCGGAAGTTGTATTTTTGCTCTGTAATCTCGCGGGAATTCCGTGTGTCATAACGGAAGTCTCGTCACACGGCTTCAGTTCATTCAAGAGGAAGTTGTAGATTATTGGTCCTTTGGTGGTTTTGGTTTGTTTTAAGTGTCCTTCAACGCGGTAATATTTTAATCCAAGGCAGTGTGACAATAATATGTTTAATGCTACAGTTGTACAGTCCATGCATGTAAAATAGAGGCTTTACAAACGTTGTTTTGTCAGTGTTTGTAGGTGATGGTGTGAGCTCCCTGCTGCCATGAGTACTCTGTTTGCCTGTGAGGACTCAGCCACATGGAGGAGTGTGTATGAGAAATACTGGGATGTAGTGGAGGCCAAGGCCAAGGGCAAGAAACCCGGAAAACTGCTGAACCTTGACAAGTGGTAAATCCCCTTTCCTTACAGCAACAGATGCAAACTCTCTTCACAAAATGCATTTATTCTTGAGTTAGGAAATTAACAGCAGTTAACAAAAAACAATCCCAACCAATGACTGTCAATAAAGACTCTTTCCTTCTCCAAAACTGTATCTCAGTTGTCATGGAAATTGATTTATAGAAATTCCAGATCAGTGTTAAAGATTTATTACACTTTTTTAAAAACACTTTTAGTACTTTCTGTCCATATTCGCTCATGATATCTCCATGACAACCGAGAAAACTCCACCTGCTAATAAAGGCCATATGATTAAATTGAAAGATCTGCAAAAAGCTAGTAAGTGGACCTTGAGTTTGGGATAGTTTTTTGCTCTCTATTGTTCTTTGGTCTATTTTATGAATGTAAATATAAGTGTATATATGTATGGCTATGAATATGATATGAAATGTGTTTAGCCAACCTTGCTTTGCGTAGAATAAAGATAACTGATCCTAATCTGTGTGGATCTGTGGTCAGGTACCAAGAAGAGCTGCCCACACTCATTTCAAGTCGACCTGACAAACGTATCACTCTGTCGGAGCTGGTGAAACTGATGGAGTGGAAGCTCACTGTAAGTAGTGTCTGGACACTAAATCCTAATAATCCCAAGGAGCACCCACACTCTTCAAGTAAATACCCTATTATATCATAGAGTTAAGAAGAGGCATTCACAGCCCTTCGTGCCTCACCTGTGTCCTTGATTGGCCCTGTGTGCTTTTCTGCAGAGGGGGAAGTTCAGGCCGAGGCTGCAGCAGCTGGTGGCTTCCAACAGTGAGGACACTGTGGAGAAATGTTCCAGAAAGGCCTTCAGCCTCCTGCCTGATGTGCAGGCAGCGATTGCAGAGCTCAGCTCCCTAAAAGGAGTCGGCCCAGCCACCGCTTCAGGTTAGCGCCGGCACATAGGCAGATAGATCAAAGCTTAAGAATTCATACTGATAAAACATTTCTGTGATCCTCTTAAAGCACATAGTGATTGCCTTCTCAGTAAGCGTACAGTCCACACACTGGTGGACTGAGCGGCCGGGACCCCCTGCTCTCTGTTTAAATAGTTTGTATTCACTTCATGGCTTCATTCAGCTTGGCTTGGGGCTGACTGTTCATTTTGCTCCAGCTGTGTTGGCGGCAGGAGCTCCAGAACAGACTGCATTCATGTCTGATGAAGCCATGGAGAGTGTACCAGGACTAAAGCCAATCCAATACACAGCCAAGCACTACGCTCTCTACCTGGGCAAAATGGTTGAGAGGACTGAAAACCTAAACAAAGGTGAGGTAATGACAGGGAGTGTGGATAGAAGTACAAGTGCATTGGGCCACTTTGGTGTTTACAGTGCTAAAGATGCATCTGTATTCTGCTTTGTCGATATATGAAAAGATTTCATGTTTTATTGTTTTATGTGTCTTTTTAACCTTTATCAGTTAAAAAAAAAAAGTATTTTATATTTTAATTTAGATCACTTTTTCAAATCTGTTGTCACTTTGACATTTAAAGGTCTTTTTCTGTTAAACAGTAGGGCTGCACAATATGGTACAAACAGCATATTGTGATTGTTTTGGCAGAGATTGCGATATGATTTGTTTTGGGATGATTATTACTGCATCACAAATTCAATTTTCTATGAAAAAAACTATATAACCATATACATTTTGGGATTCGTACCAAACAAACATGTTTGTTTAATCTGGAGAACAAGATTTGTAGGCCAGTACTTCATTATAATGCTGTTTTGTAGCACATTGAACTTGGCCAAATCATGATTTTGACAATATTTTATTAACTGTGCAGTCCTATTGATCAGCCAAATTAAATCTGCTGTGATTGTGATGACTGGCCTCCCCTCTCGTCCTCAGTGGATCCCCAGCAGGACTGGACGCCCCACAGACTGGAGCTGTGTTTGTGGGCGATGACCATAGCCAAACAGCAGCAGCTCCCACTTCTAAAGGATGTTGATGTGAAGGCCAGCAGTGTGGTAGAGAAGTGCTCAGATGCTGATCAGAGACCAGCAAAGAAGCTCAAAACAAGATAAAAATGACAACTATTGCACAGAATTTTTTTTTTACATTAAACTTGCTTTAATGTTTGTCATTTTTTTTGTATTTTTTCCAAATAATAAAGTCTTTATATGAAATAGAGTGCATTGAGCTTTTGAGTTTTGTAGAACTTATGGGGAGAAGTTTACACATGTTGTGTAAAAGCCTTCGACCACATTTTCAAGATCAATTATGCTCTGCGTGTGTGTACATATGCTCTAGTTCAGTCATACAGCAAAAGTAAAAGTCTTTCTTTGCCTGGACTCCAACTGCAACTAACAATTATTTTAAATTCTGATCACTCTACATATTATTTTCTTTATTAATCATATAATCATATATCTAGAAAATGTCGGCAAACAGTGAAAGATGCCCATCACACTCTGAGTCCAAGGTCACGTCAAGTCTGAACAATAAGCCAAGTTCACTGTTATAGAGGACTAAAAAGACAAATTAAAAATACATTTTTTGATATTGATTGATTCTTCACAGTTCAATGATAATGATTTTGCTCAAACACACTAACAATAGCAGTAGGATGTTGCCACAGTATTGTTCTTTATTTATATTGTTTCTAAATTAAAGCAAAGTACAATGAACAGTACAAAATAAAACAAAATATATTCATATATATACAATATAAAATGGTTCCGTTCAGAACATTTAAAAAGTACAATAGATTGTGAAATAATTAATGAGGACTTTGATATAAATTATCCATTTGTAAATTTAGTTTTCCTTCAGTTTCCTCATGACCGAGAGAAAAATAGCTTCTTCTGCTTTTTCTTTTTGTAAACGCTGTGTTGGCACAACCTCTTGTCTGGTCTCAGAGATTGAACCTCATAAGCTTGGCACCATTTTATCGATACAAGTAAGCAGCTCGGGAAAAAAACTACCACAGCAGCACAGATGTGACTCTTTTTTTTTCTTTCATTCTAACCCGTTGGAGGGAAACAACTCTGATTTTAAGAAACCACCTGTGATGTTTGCATGATGTCGAGTGGCTCAGGCAGTATTTGTGAACATGAAAATAATCTGTACCTCAGCTAGAAACTGGGAAACTTTAGCAATGTTCTCCATTACAAACGAGAAAATATACCCTCATCTCCAGAGAGAAACCCTGAATACTCTCACAGACAAAGTCTTTTATGATTGTTTCTAGCTGTGGTACACAAAAATCAGTGTTCACTAATCCACTTGAAAACCAGAATGTTCAGAGGCATTCCTCATTTAAAGTTTAATACTGTAGACTTTAAATGTTAAGCATAATGGAAAGCTGGAGAGATTGTTGAACTATAACAACCTGCAAGCATTGGGGTTCATAGATGCATGCTTAGTCTGCACTGACTTTATGTGTCCAAGCCAGCCCTACTGGCTAATTAACACAAATTTAAAATTAGTTTTTCACAGTTTGACACCTCACCAGGATAATTTGCATTTCATTTCATTTCATGTTTCATCTTCAGCCAAACAATGCACTGGTGAGCATCCAATGACGTTGTGAGTACAGTTCCATCTCTGGAGCTACAGTCGCCTGCTTTACCTGCACAGTCCTGCAGTGAGACTTGGCCACAATATATATACAGATATATCCAAGTGGCAATAAAAACTAAGACAAGGCAACCTGGCCAGCTTGTTGGCAAGTAGCAGTTCAGAGCAGCTACTTAATAACTTCAGCTGTTTGCACTGCGGCTTCTTCCTCTTATGGATTCTATGCATGTAGAATATACCATACAGCTTTGAGCAAAGCAGCCTTTCTGCCCGGTGCTCAGTCTTGGGCTTATATACTATAACAAGGCATTGGGCATAACAGCACAATGGATTGGCAGAGGGAGGTAAAAAAGCATCAAAGAATGTTTATGGCAGTAGAGAATATGGCACACGCCAACACGTCGGTTAACTACATCTTAATAAGTGCAACAACAAAAAAAGCCCACTTATGACAAAATACAGGAAATAAGAAACATCAGTCAGATAAATGTCAAGTATGCTGCAATTCTGAATGAAACGAGCACAGAAATAAACAGTATTTTGGGTGCAGTCACATCAACAAGGGTTCAAACAAGTTGGCACTAACCTTTCTACATCATTTCACAGTCATGACTGTATCGAAACCAATCAAAAGGAGCATGTGGCTCACCCAAAGTGATGGATCACATGTTATTCATAGTCTGCTCCTATTCAGGCTCATGCCATCCTCCACCCGTGCATTCCTTATACTGCTGAAAACAAATATGTCACTCAAAGACGGCAATTAAATTAACATCATGCAGCCTGTCAGATCCACTTATTAAAGGAAGATATCCTGTTTATGGTCTAGCTTTGGGCTCTGGTGTATCCTTGCGACAGCCATGCATCATCCTGACACCGGGGGTGTTGTGACATGAGCGCGACAGGATGGGAAAGCACGAAAGCTGCTGCTTTACAGCCCTGCTGAGGTTTTCTGCAGAGCGCCAGCGCTGTCTGTTGTACCTGCCGTCCCTCCATCCCTCACAGACCAATACCGTCACATGCCGTCAACCAGAGGATGTGAGTCAGGCCTCCATCAATCCTCTCCTTTAAGATGAGATGTTGTCTGAGTGCAGGAGAGGCTTTTTGTCAGACACGGAGATGACTTTTTAGAAGGTATGTTGGTGCTGTGGTCAGCTCAGGCACAGGGCCAGGAGATTTGGCTTACAGAGAAGTTATAAACTACTCCTGAAAACGTTCCTCCCCAACCTTGTTGTTAATTTTCTCTTGCTATTGTCTGCGTTTTTTTCAGAAGAGACTTGTACAAATAACAAATGAAACACTGGACATTTCACTGTGTATGAAAAGAACTCAATCGAGTAGCATGTTTTTGAGTTTTAGGGGCATCAAGAATTCACAAGCCTTCGATTTTAGTCCTGCATGTACTTCCAGGAGGGGTAATATTCACAGTTAATGTGTTCTACAAGAACATAGCCATTTACTAGCCCTTTTTACAACCCTTCTGGGTTCCTATGAATCTAAAGTTAAAGAGGCACATTAACCTCCTCTCAGGCATCCTCTTTATCTTCATTATAGGCTAACAGGATATGTATGCATTATTCATCAATGTATCTTTGCTATCCTAAGCAATAATATTTCCTAGTATACACAAGAGTTTCCATCAAGGATCCATTACTACTACGTATTGGCTGATCTTTTCTTTTTTTGTCTTTATGTATCTGAAAATGGCTTATTCTGGCTATTTCACACAGATTCCATCATTTAACATGGAGTCTTTTGTTACAATTGACAGTTTCATGTGGAAGCAAATGCTGAGGACTGTATTTATGACCAACTATCAAAATTGGCAAATGCATAAAAAAAAATTCCCAGGCAGCCAGTGGACATTTAAATGAATTATTGATTGAACGACTGAAAAATGGAACGTAGCATGAGTAAATGTAATTGCTATCCTCGCCTCAGCTTTCCAAAAAGCTTGAACCACTCCGCAGATAATATATGACAGAAGCCCTGTTCATAATTTGTTATTTTCAAAATAAGAAATGCCGGAGAGGCGTCTGCACACTGCCGGGGACAGTTTGAGATGTGGGCACTTGGAAAAATGAAGCTGCATCCACTACAAACAAGTCGGCGAACAAGCTGTAAAAATGAGTCTAGCTACGTGAAAACATAAACAGTCCAGAGTTTCACCGGCTTGTACTTGCACAGTTTGTCTTCTTTCACCTAAACCTTTGAATATTTCACGACGCAGAAATGAAGTTTGAGCACACACACAAAAAAAATAGAGTTTCACTGAAGCTACCAATCAGCGGGGTTCAAACCAGCAAACACCTTTTTTTCCTCTGCGTTTGCCCTCTCGAATTAGTTCTTTCTATGGCTTATTTTGTAAAGCACTAAAGATTTATAAAATCAAGTGAGCTTGAGTCGTCGGTGGTCATCTAACAAACCAGGGGATTCTGCCTCATAGACTATTTTTCAGAGGATCAAAGCCATACAGGAGTTATCAGGAGAACAACAATCATAGCATTAATTTTGCACCATTTGAAACGTTTCTCTTTTCCCCCTTCAAAGGGGAAAAAAAATACAAATAAATATACTCTTGGTTATGAACATACAATATACACATCCACTATCAAATGAAAAACGGGGACAACTTAATAACACTCTTTTTTTTTCTTTATAGGTACATTCCTTTACAAAAGTATACAGTCCCTAAGAATGAGAAACTGAGGTATAGACTGGGCCTGACAGAGAGACCCCAATGCCCTCTGGGACACGAAGGTCAGAGGTCAGGTGATGACACATCCGCGCCCTCCCCAGTTCAGTCTGTCAGAGCGAGAACAGGCAGAGGCCAGTACGTGTATATGTTCGTGTGTGTGTGTGTGTGTGTGTGTGTGTGGTTTTCTTCTCTTCGGTTTGTCCACATTGACCTACAGAATCAGGCAGTGGCTGCTCTCAAAGACAAAGAGGAGAAATGTGTGTGTGTGTGTGTGTGTTTGTGTGTGTGTTTGTGTTTGTGTGTGTCCTTGTCTCGCCGAGAGCCACAGAGCATGACATGGCATATTTTACACGGTGCGCCTAGCAAGTTGGTGGTTAGCGTTTGACACAGCAAACAGGAGGAGTTGACTCATTTAAGTGACGACCATCCGGGAAACTTGTCGTTTTCTCAGAAACTTATTTTTCTTTCCTCTCCTGTCACGCAGTCACTTTCATTTCCCATCTTCATGTCTTGTCCAGTGTTGTGTGAACTATGTTTCTGTATCCACAGTGTAGGTATAATGTCATGGAATATAGGAAAAAAATGATGTCGTCTTATTTTTTAAAGACCCCATGAAGTGAAAATGACTGTGATGCCTCTGACTTTAAGGTACTCCTAAGACAGAAACCACATAAAACTTAAAAAAAAAAAAAATTCTAAAACCGTTCTTTCCTGCAACTGCTCTGGGAAAGGGTTTCTTATTCCCATTGCAACCGGGGGGGACAATGAATTTTGACAGATGCTTTATCATCTACTTAGTCGCTCCATTTGAAGAAAACCTTCTGTTAGCTGTTTTTTTGTTTTTCACTTAGTGTGCCAGCAATTCTGCAAAAAGCCGCAGTGACCCCTGTGAGTTACAGCAGGGTTGGGGAAAAAAATCTAATTTCATTGGTGCTTCTGTGAGTTTTCTATAAATTGCTGCCCCCAGAAATAAACATGCTCTTCCTGAAACTCCTCTCTAAATCTCCTCCTGTGGCTCTGATTTGTGGCACAGCCAAAGGACTCAGATTCAGGCGTCTACGCTGCTCTAGTGCCTTTAAACAAAACACTGAAACCCTCTTGGTTTAAAGGGCGATGCTGCAGTTGATCCTGATCTCTGAACTTTACAACAGACGACACTGTCACTGCCGCAGCACACACTCCTACAGTTTTCCTCCCTTTTATTCCCTTTCACCAGAGGCAAAGTCAGATCCTTCTTACTTGAGGTCTTAACATGTGTGAAAGATGCACTCAAAAGAAACAAATGATGACACAGCTTTTCAAAAAAGCCTTTGAAAGAAAAAGAGCACAATGGTTGAATGCTCATTGAAAGATTAGTGCTGGTAATGTGGATGAGATTTCAATGTGTATATATAAAAAGATATAATGCTCCTCAAAATGGATCTGAGGAACTTTCACCTGTACTTGTTGCTACTGTAATCCCTCTTTAATAAAAGAGACATATTTTCTTTGATTTGCAAAGTATCTGTAAAAAAAGATTCTTGGTCGATTTTTAGTTTTGAATGATTTCATATCATTTCATTTGGGTCTAACTTGAGAGGAAATGGGAAAGTTAACTATGGTCAAAGGGGAACCTTTGTTTGGAACAGGGTTTGGAGTCAGTGTGCATGTGGAGGAGGGCCTATGGGTGGGGTGGGGGGCCATCATCAGGGAGCAGGTGGTATCTGCACCCCCAGCAGCTCATATGCAAAGATGTTCCAGAAGATGGCGAAGAGGAGGAAGGTGATGAAGGAGAAGACGATGACCCACCAGGAGCACTGTTTCTGCAGGCTCTCCTCGTAGCTTCGAAGAATCAGCAGCCCCATGCTGATACCGACCACAGCCCCCGACAGGTGTGCCATGAAGCTGGGCTGGGGCCCCGAGGAGGGCAGCGGGGGTGAGAAGCGGAGCCAGACTGCACGACCCACCTCCGAACTCACTGTCGAGGGTAGATCAAAGACAGAATGAACGTGGAGGAATCTCTTTAGTATCTGCTCATGACTCTTTGACTGCTTTTTCACTCTGCGGTTTTTGTACGGAATAAACATATAAATGAGATATGAGCATCAGCAGAGTGGTGGGCCACACTTGTTATCCTCGGACAGAAACAGGTTAGCTGTTTCTCCTTGTTTCCAGTTTTAGTGCTGAGATGAGTTTACCATCTGCAGGTTGTAGCCTTATATCTAACATACATGTGAACTGTATCAATCTTCTCATCTTCCTCTCCACCAGAAAACACATCACCCATACCATTAAAATCAGTCGGGCTCTGAGTCTCATCCCGCTGACATGGTTCTTAAAACGCAATTAGAGTTAGAGGATTATCTTGAATAACAGGGCGGTCTTATTTTATAATAAAGGCACCATGATAAACACTCATGATTGGTTGACTGATAATTATATGATTGCATTTGTATGACAGAGGTGTTAAGAGAAGCCATGCTCTCAGGAAATTGACTCACAAAGCTCTAACCTAATTGATTTGTGTTCTAAATAATGCTTCACAACATTAATGATGTGTGTATTTAATCTATAAAGTGATGCCCTGCCAACATCTCATGTATGGCCATTTTTGTCTGTTTAAATTTAAATATATACAGTGTGTACTTAGGATTCAAGTGCTTTTAATACATTTGAGAGTTCAAATAATAAATCCTCCATGATTATGTTTTCTGGTTCAGTTGGTCTTTATTTGGCTTTCCCAGTAACTCTCATTTAAAAACATCATCATCCTTCTAAGAAAAGGAATCCTTTGTATAACTCTTACACATATAAATAACAGGGCCTAGGACTGCAGCTGACTTCATGCCAGTGCCTGAAGATGAGCTATACAGTGCATTGTAGTAAAGTGTTTTATTACAGTCTATTTTTGTGGGCAAAGAAAGGTCACAAGAGGATTTAAATGGATCTTTATTCTAAAAATTGCTTTCAAATGGTATTTGTAGTTGTTTGTTGCTGCTCTTCCAAAGTCTCCTCAGCTGAATGGATACACATAAAATTGGAGCAAATATTAATTCAGTCTTCACAGTATCTCACAAAACAATGTGTCACATTTTATTTTGAAATGCTGTATTCACTGAGGAGAAATATCACATCCCAGCAGAGACTCACTGTTCTCTCAGTTCGGGGGCAGCGGGCTCGGGACAGATGGAGGGAACATATTGCTCACTAATGAAAGTCACAGTGTATCGGCCCTCGTGTGGAGAAAAGGGACAAGTAGTATGACTCAAAAGCTTTGAAAACAAAGCAACATGTCCAATCACGGAGCCTCTCACTCTGAGCAATTAACAAAGATAGCTTGAGTAGCATGTCTGTGGCTCAGCTTTAAGAGGTTCTTAAACCCCCACTCATATGATAAACCCTCTGCTACTATGCTGAACTGTGGACAGGTGTGCAAACATGAAATACGCTGAAAATGAAGGGGGCACACACTCCTTATTTAATGATTGAATGATAAATACAACATAAAAAACAACAGTTTGAGAGTAAATCTGGACAACTTACTGCAAACTAGCGCCAGGATCATGCGGAGCAGCTTGTATGGACAGCGCATCCCGGCCCAGTTCTGCAACACAGAGCCAAAGTGTCTCGTCAGCACAAACAATCACGACACCAAAACCATTATATATATATATGTGAGTATATTAAGAGCCTGTGAAGAAACGCCTCCGTTTCTATCCTCTGGACATATTTAGACCTGAAAGAAACACAATCCATATCCTTATGAGAGAGGAGGCAGCACACAGACACGATTATACACCTGGCTGCTCTTCACTTACTGGTTCCAACCCAGTGGCACTCTATTAATTAGGGCTAAGATAATTTAACAGACGGGGAGAATGGGCCAATGAATAGCCCTTTTGATTCTCCGGGTGGAAAAGAACAATGGCATCCAGACTTAGAATAACACATTTACTCTCCAGGATGAAAAATTGTACCAATCACGTCCCTCCTTACGTTCCTGGCTGTGGGAATATGACATAGGGCCAGTGTTTCTCCTCTTCTCTCACAGCAGAAACAGAAACGGTGAACGCCATGCAAAATTAAAGATGGAGGGGGGAGTATAAATAAAACCTGCCGTGACCATAGGTTGGAGTGGCAGTGACTGTAATGTCACAATATTTCTGCAAATAAATGATTCATATTGAGGAGGGGAGAGGTCAAGTGCAGAGGAGGAGGTCTGAGATGGGTGTGATGTGGTGCTGCTGCTCTCTGATGGGAGGCAATTTGCTTTAACGTGCCTCCACTGCCACAATATTTAACCAAAGAACAGCCAGTAAATTTTTTCTCTGTTAGAGACCTTGTTTATCACATGGCTGACACAGAAATGCTGAAGGAATCTGTGTGTGTGTGTGTGTGTGTGTGTAAGAGGCGCAGAGGATCATGCAGAGACTCAAAGAAAGAGTGATTGCTGCTGAGAAGACACAAATATGAAATCTTAAAAAAAGTAAGAGCTCATTTTTCTTTAAAAACCTCAAGAACTAAAAAAAAAGAAAGAAAAAGAAGATTTGAGATTTAAGTGCAATGTCAAAAGTTGAATTTGTGTGCTACATGGTTCCAAGATGAATTCTGACAGTTTAGCTGGAGATGCATGACTTCCAGGGAGTCACGTCCACGGCAGTAGTTTGAAACTTCACTGAACCTGAAAATGTCTGTTGAGCGAAACGGATGATGATGCCTGATGGCAGATGGCTGGGAATTTACTGGGTTGAGACCGGACAAGGTTTCAAGATTTCCTTCAAACAACAGAGACTAGAAGAAAACTCAGCGGAGCAGAACTAAGACGTCCCTTGAAGGATTTCCTAACAACAAACATGCATCAAGCATAACAGACCAAATAAACTGCCTGTTAGCTGCTACGAGCACACACTTACAGTTACGGAGGCTTTGCTTTGGGCCTGCCAGTGCACTTTGATTTCTATCCCTGCTGGCATCTCCACTGCCCACAGTGAACAGCGATATTAGTTAAAGTGATTCGTCAGATGTAACACCGCCTCGAGAGTTGAAGAGAACGTGGAAGGCATTTCACATGTAAACCTTGTGACGGAAAACCAAACAAAACAACTGCTGCAATTCACTACCTATTTTCTTTCACTGGACACAAATAAACACGGTCTTAATAATTAATTATTAAAACTGCACTTCACGTCTTTTGGGTACGCTACTCATCGGTAACATTCAGCGAGAGCTTCTCCAAAGAGGTCACATGCAATATTCAACAGCACTTTTCCAAAAACTGCTGGGCAATAAAAATTATTTATCACATTGATGTGATCCTACTGCAGCAAGGGAAAAAAATAATCTAACCGAGTACAACAGTGAAGCCCAGGATGTTGGCGAGAGTGTGCAGTGTCTCGGTCTCACACCATGCGGACAGCTCTGACATTTCGTCTCTATTGAAAACCCACTTTCAGATGTAACAATGGAGGCGATGATGATGATGACAGTTACCATGACGACGTTGGCCAGATGAGCCGAGCACAGAGCGTAGACCCCCCCGGAGCCCCCCACCACTGGAGCCCGCATGTCGGTGATGGACACTGTCAGCGAGCCTGTAGGAGAGAGAGTGAAAGAGAGATAGATTAGGAGTGTAGATGTATGAGAGAGGGAGAGAGAGAGGGAGAGAGATAGAGCACGCAATGCAGAAAGAAGAGTGTGTGTGTGAGGAAGAGAGAGAGAGAGAGAGAGAGAGAGAGAGAGAGAGAGAGAGAGAGAGAGAGCAAAGGACAGCATTTTAGAGCAGAGGGGAAAAACAAAGGGAGAGTCAGATTACTCATCACACAGCAGCACGAGTCACCTTCCTCTGAGCATTTTTTAAATATCTCTGAGTAAAAATCACCCTCTGCTCACAGGGACTGCTACATCAGCTGACCTTCACATGCCCTTTTATTACACATCTAGAATACACGAGACACACACTCAAGCACACACACATAGTACAGTATTGCTTAGGGTTTTTCCCCGTATGTAAGCAGTCTGCTAAAACTGCAGCTGACTAATTCTATTAAAAATGGTAAAGAACTGAAAAAAAAAGGAATATTTCCCTAAATGGATTTTCCTTCAATTAAAAAAGTTCAGGAAACAGGCGAACCTTGCTGAAGAGGATAATTTGCAATTTGTGTGCTCTAAAGATACTGTGTTATATTCATGAGAAAAATGTAATCTGGGATATGCGGATATGGAGGGAAGCCAAATGTGCCGTTAAAAAAAGATGTAAGTTTTAATATGAAGAGTACAGCGGTGGTCATGGCAGGGATAAAGGCATGAACATTATGACACTGTAAAATGTTTGCTCACTTAAAACGACGTCCACCTCCTAAATACTGCTACATATGAACAAAAAAAAACCTTATTTAGTGTCTTATTTGGTGTCTTGTAACTCACATTTTCAGCGTGAGTGCTTACAGGCCCTGCACACAGGTGTTACTCTGGCTAATTAGACCTCTAGTCAGGTTCAGCTTGAGCCGTGTCTGTAATTATCTGATGTCCCCAAACTCTATTGACTAATAACAATAATAACGATGTAAACTTTCCCAACCCCTGACAGGCGCGACAAAACTGACGCAAGACCGAGGGAGCTGTCAGTCAAACGCAGGTCTGTGCACGCCCTCACACAGTCTTGAGAAGAGGTCTAATCAGATAAAGTGAAAACACCTGTGTGGGTGGACAATGGCTGTGAAAAGAGTCTTTCAGCGTCAGTCAGCAATAAATTAATAAATAAGTATTAAATCTTAGAAAAAACTAAGAAAAACAAAAAGTTTCAAAGTCGCAGTTTGATTGACGTCCAACCTCACTTGTATTGTATTATTTTCTGTTAGTATAAAATGTTTTTATACTATAAAAAAATAGTATAAATATTATATATATATATGAAAATGCAAAAACATATACATAGATCAGCTTGATGTGTTAGAAATCAGTATCTATAAACAATATAATTTGCATTATGTGGGCATCTACCATTCATACCATCTGTATGAGTGAAATCTATTCTTTTCTCATGCTGGAGAAGGTTTTCCTCCTCCTCTAGCATATATTTAAACAGGTATTAATATTGAATGTCAGTGCAGAATGGTAGGTCTTTGCTTATGTTATGTTATTTTCATGGACTGACACAGAGTTCAAGTATTTAGTGTTAGTGTTCAGCGTTCCATCTTAACCCCATTCAAAGCGGAGGTGTCAAATGTACACGTGCTTTACTCAAGTAGAAGCACAGATACTTGTCTTGACCTCCGTAAAGAAATACTGATTCAATTTCTTTTCTCAAGGAAAAGTAAAGAAGTCCAGGCTTTGAAATGTAATAAAATATAAAAGTACTCTCTTGGTTTCTCTGAAGGACATCTCTACTGGCTGTTTCAGTGTAAAGTATCAAATAGATTATTAATATTAAGAGATGGAACCGATTTGAGAATATTGTGTTTGGAAAAATTTGTGAAAAAATTTGTTTCAAAGAATGTAAAATGTGTGGCTTTGTACTGAAAAATGGGACAGTTATTCTGAAAACATGTTTGAAATATTATATATTTCCTATTTTGTAAATAGTATATATATATATATATATTAAAGGATGCTGATAATATTGCTTTATATACTTACTAGCTGTGGTGATCTACAGGTCACATGACTGTAACCTTGGTGGAGGCCAGGTTCTCAAAGTCAGAAATAGAAAGTGTTTTGCTATCTACATCGCTGTGTGGGGAATATGCCAGTGTGATGTTTGGCCAGTTATTAATGAGTATAACAAAAAGTGTTTAAGGTGTATAAAGATATAATCCTGATTACAGTACAGTGCACATGCTGCTGCATTAGGAGTTGCAGTGATACTATGAAGTAGGACAGAATTCCAAGCTGGAGAAAATCACAGTGGCAGTTGCTTGCGAGGACAGCGTCAGACACTGTTAATTATGCAAATGAGCTGATAAGGGAAGCGGAGAGGGCTGATAAAACAAAACAGAGCCTCTTTTTAATCACAGTTGGGGTTTGCTGGAGTTGTGATCTCAGATCTATAATGCATGTTGTAACATTCATATTCTGTGTGTGCGCGTGTGCGTTGTGAGACCGCACAGAGTAAACATCGTCTTAAAGAACGCCTTGTCAGCCCGTGGTGGCAGTGATGATCATGGAAAGACAGATGGTAATCAGAGCGCATTCCTGAGTCATTCATCTCTCCTCGCTCAGACACCTATGGGCTATTTTATGTGGATTTATGGGGCATATGAAGGTTGGCTCTTCGGCTAAAGATTTGAGGAGATTCACAGTGCCCCATTTTTAGTAGTTCCACAAAATTGCAATTACACAGTGTAGCATACAGTATGTGGTCTCTGATCTCTTCAAAGTAAAGGAGAAATTGAATTGGAGCAACTTCAGCAGCATCAACATCTGAGTTTCTCTTTAAGTCTTTTCCGGAGCTTCACAACTTTTTTTTTTACAGTTTCAGACTTTAGTGTAGTGGAGCTGGGAGATTCATGAAATATAGATAGAATGACATAAGAGTTATGGTCTGGATATTTAAGCATTGGTAATATTATGTGGTTAAATTTTGTCTCTAACCACAATGGGTGGTGTTAAAATTAAGTTAAGAAAAGTTTTTTTCAATTTATGGATCCAGCAGACAAGTAAGCAACATTAGCATTTATTTTCGTTTTTGGCCTCCTGGTCCGATATTCACTCTCTTTTTTGTAATTCTTTTCTTTTCATTTCCAACTCCTGAGGCTCTTTAGCCTCTAAATGCTCTACTATCTTCACTAGCTAGTTGCTAACTTTACCTATATTTGTCTGGTTACCTTTTGTAGTGAGTTTTTCTTTCATTGAAAACCGCTGCCCATGGAGGGAGTGACTCAAAACAGTAAAGCTGTGGAGTGTAAAACCATAAGTTAAAAGCAGTAAGTTACCGCTCCTTATAGCTGAGAGGAACAGCAGACCTAGGATATATCCTCTGTGGCTACACCACCTGCTACCTCCTTCACATTACTCACAGTAACTTGATCCAATATTAATATTAAAATCTTGATTGGAGCAGATTTAAGAGTAGCGAAGTGGGCTATTTGGTTTCTAACATGACAGTTAACACCAGCAGAGACCACCTCTTCATAGGAGACACTTGTCAAGATGTGACACCACCATCTGTGGGTGAAGAAGAGAAGACAACCTGAGACCTCCGGCTCAGAGGAAGAGACGGGCCCCACAGGGAGGAAACAAACTGCTCTCTCCTCCTGCTCGCTCTGCTTTGGTGAGAGGCTCCCAAATACAGTATGAATATTAAACAGGCCTGTCATGTGGGCTCTCCTGCTTAGGGGGATTTTAAGATTTAGGATTCTCGCACTCAGCAGGAGCTGAGGCGTAAGGTGCACGATTATTTCAGAGTCAAGTTGACACATTCCATCTCACGGACAGATTATTTATTGTTGCCATCCTGAAGTCATCATCAGCATCCTCAAATCAAAGTGCACTGAAGTGTAGACAGTGAAAATTATGTACTTATACTGTTTAGACTAAAAGTCAACCGCACACTCGGGGCTATACTCCATCTACCGCAGTGTAGTCCCCAATGCAGCTGAGAGAACTGAGCCTTTGTCAATCCATATGTGCTACACCATTACAGTTACTCCAGGCTGCCCTTAAGCTATAGGTCATCTTTGTATTTTTCAGTCTCTCCGGGATAAGGTGTAGACAAGGGATGGTAAACTGATGCAAGGCCAGGGCTTGACAGTGCCTAAGGCTGTGCCTCATTGTAGCCACTCTAGTGGAGGCTGCGCCAGAACACAGTAATCCCTGGAAAATATTCCTCTGCACTAACACTTACAACCCCTTTTCACTGTCTGCTTTCTAGACTTTGTATGAGTGGGCAGCTATCAACTGTGATTACTTAGACTGTTTGCAGTCTATCAAGAGTCCCTGAAGAAATGTGACTGATGTTGGTTTTTAATGATAAAATTTGGTTGAATAGATGTTTTAAAAAATGTTTAAATGGCTGTAAATGTCAGCATTTAAGGGTGAATATATTAGATCATCTTAGCCCGTGAGTTTGATCAAAAATGAAGAATTCATGTGTATAAAGAGATTTCTCTGGTGCTAGTTTTTATTTATTTATATTGGTATGAGGTGGGGTTGTACATACAGCCAACGTTTACTGAGGTTTTCCCAAAGATAAACCTGGACTGATTAATATTTGGGGGGCAACATTACAAGCAGAACACAACATTGACATGTACTCATCTTATAAAGTTGATAAGGCTGAATATTTTAGCAGTTGACTATTTACACATCTAGCTGACATGGAAAAACATTAGCATTCATTTGGAGATGTGCTTCAGGCGACCTAACCAACGTAAATCCAATATTCAGTCTCGTTTTAGCTCTCTTTGGTTTTCATCAACTCCTGAGGGAAATATTTGCCTCTTTAACTGCTAAATGCTCCACTATGTTCACCAGTTAATTGCAAACTCTGTCTGTCGCTTGGTGCTGGACAGGTAGCGTTCAGTGGGTGTATCGGAGTATTTTACAATAAAAACAGCTGGCTGCTGTGTCTGTAAACAACACAGATGAGAGCGGT